AAAATTTTTACATGGTCTGAAAATATGTTCGATTTTCTGCAAAAACGCAAAAAACCGCATCTAAAATAGTACAGTAAAGCAGAGTTCTTTAAGATAATCCTTAACCTTGTCCCTCTCTCCTGCAGGGATAATTTCCAAAAATTTCTTCTTAGTGTGCATTCTCAAGGTGTATCCTACTAAAACGCAGTCAAAAACGCAAAAAATTGATTAAAATCATTATTGAATTTTAATAGAATAAATCTTTAGTATTCAAAAAGAATTTTTATTTAAATAACCTATAAAATAAAAAAAAATAATTGCATTATAATGGAGAATTAACTTACTTGCTTGCTTTACTTGAATTATATGGTAAATTTTAAATTTTAAAATCTAAAAAAAAACTTGTTATATATTTCAAATTCAATATTTCGAATTTTTCGAATTTTCTATTTATTGTTTTTGGGTTGTCCAAAAGATGGAAATTATTAAAATATTTATTAATTGCCAAAATGTATACTATACATGTCACTATTTACTTTCTTTGTTTATTATTTACACTTTATACCGACTAAAATTGACTCTCTCCTCCTCTTCCCTCGAGGGGGGTTGAAATTTCCAAAAATCTTTTTTAGTGTGCATTTTCATGACGTCCCCCACTAAAAATGGAAAGTTTTTCCAAATTAAGATTAATAAAATGCTACTTAAGAAGTTCAATAAGCCAAACAAAACTTAGAAATCTATCATTAATTTCTATTGCATCTACATTGGCTGCCACTCTAGATTACGATTCCCTAATTAATGAATTTGCTAAAGTTAAAGTTAGAAGGGTAAAACTGTAGTAGATTCTTGTAGTTGATACTTGATATCATTATTTTAAAATAATTTTTATTTTCAAAGTAAAAATAGTATTCGTACAATTTGTGCAGTTTTTTAAATCACAACCGAAGGTATTTTAGAGAAAAACATTTAAGGGGTGGCATTTCAAAGACTTGCATTACACTGAGAAAATTTACGGCACGGCCCTGCTGAGTTGTATTAGGAAATTTATAATAAATGCATAATGTAATTTTTGAAATATATAAGCAAATTATAAACAGTAATAATTTAGATCAGATTGTATAAATATATTTTAAAAAATACTATAAAGATATTTTCTAAACTAAATTATTTTTTAATTCATAGAATGTTAAGTAAACAATATATAATCTTTTATAACAATTATTTTTTAATGTTTTTTTTTTTTATTTGTATATAGTTAGAAATGGTATCTTGTACATTTTATATTGTGATTAATGTATTTTTAATATGTGTCTTTTGTGATAAAAAGTTTTAACAATGATTTATGTGTTATTCTTGTACATTATTAAATGCTCAGGTTTATCAGAGGAGGGTATACAGAAGTTGTTTCCTGCTGCAGCAGCTACTAGCAAGGTTCTTCATTCAGGAATGACATTAACTCAGATATATTCTGAATATATTAAATCTCAAGAAGAACTTCAACAAGAGAAAATTGAAAATCAAAGACTAACTAAGCAGTTGCAGCAAATAATTGCAGTAAGTAAATAATAATTGAAATACAGTAGATAATTTGATTAGACGTGAAAATTAATTTTATCAAAAGAACATTCACTAATTCCAACTTCCAAAACACCACAGTCCACTGCTTTATTCAGAGAATTATGGTATCCTTCATACACTGATCTTCATACACCAAGTGCTTTCAGAGCTGTGCTTCATTATCAGAGTTTATAACAAACATAAACATAAAATAAAACCAAAATGCCAGCGATAAAACAGTCTTTTCTCTCCATATCCATTCTGCATAAATTAAAAATGGAAGGAATATGGAGAGAAGATATTGTTACCTTTCTAGTTCTTTGATTTTATTTATTTTTATTATGTTTGTTATAAACCATGAAAATGGAACATAGTTCTGAAAGCACTTAGTATATGATGATCAGAAATAAATAATACCTCTCTGAATAGTGGTGGACATTGGTGTTTTTGATAATTATATCTGATTTTAGGATATCTTTTTAAATTGTGTGTATTATTTGGTTGTTTGTTTCCTATGATATGTCATTTTTTAGAATAAGAAAAAAAGAACTTCATATTTCAGAAAATATAACAGCATATTAATCAAAATAACATCCATTTGTTTCTGAAGTCTTATTCTAACATACTTCGAGTGCAAATTTAACAACAATGCCAAATCTAAATTCTAGTGAGAATAAAAACATTTATTGAAGAACAAATCTTTTTGACCTTTACAAAGGTCATCTTCAGGTTCTATGGTAGAATGCAAATCAAACAAAAACAAAATCTAAATAATGTTTGTTGTGTACGAACATTGCACGCACAGGAACATAGTAATAAGCTATAAAATAAAAATGATTACAAAAGAAAAAAACAACACATATGGCAAAGACATTATGAATAGACAAAATGTAACATAAATGGAAACAAGTTGCCAATGAATTTCAGTTCAAAGGAATCAGATCACTGAATGACCCTCACACATGGTGTGATTATAAATTGGCATAGCCATTTTAAACATACATCCCAATATAATGGTGATGAATTAAAGTTAAGTGAATTTTATCACCTGACTCGGACCCTAACAGACATGGCAATGCAGCAAACTGTGAAAAAATAATTTTTCTTTTGATTTCTTCTGGCCTTTGAATCTTTACTTTCTGAATATGCCTCATATATTATATCATAAAATATCAAAACCTATTTGTTTAAATCATTTTGGTTTATGCCTTCATCAGTTGACATCTTATAGGTTATATTTATATTATATATTTCTTACATTATCAAAACACCACAGTCCAACAGTCAATTGACATTTTATCTATACTAATATTATAAAGTGGTAAAGTTTGTAAGTTTGGATGTAGGAGGTAATCTCCGAAACTACTCATCCGATTTCAAAAATTCTTTCACAAATATTTAGAATGGACCTTCAGGGTGGACATAGGTTGTATATTATTCTGTTAAACATTCATATAAATTAAAAGATATCATCTAGGTAAGCATTATATTTTTGGTGTCAGCGGGTGGCGAGGGGCAAGACGTGTATGTTAACGAGATAGGTAACTGCACAGCGCAGTCACGTGGTCGACGAGATATGCAGTGCACATGCCCGAACTTGTGCTGAACATTTACCTATTTGTTGCCGCTTAAAATATCATCTTTTGCCCCGTATGCATTTCTATAACATTCATATAAATTAAAAGATATCATCTAACTGATACTGTTATAGTCACAAACTGAATTCCATGCTGGCAAAACTGTGGGCACAGCTAGTAGGTTATATTTATATTATATGCAGGGTTCCTACGCACCTGGAAAGTCAGGGAATTCAAAACAAAAATTTGAGTAGGAACCCTGTATATATTTTTTACATTAACATTTCAGGCCCTTTACATTTATTACTTTGATGTATTTGCATTAAAGAAAATTCACACTTTCCAGCAATGGCAACCAATAATACATGCAATAATATGAGAGTTATATTGCAGTTATGGTGGGAATTAAAGTTTTCATGAGCCTATTGGTGGTTATTGCTAGTAGTCTGGCTATGAAAATTGTTTGGGGTTTTAATAAAGTTCATCATAGCCTTAGATGGAGTGATTGATTAGTAGGTTGTCTGGTTGACATGGCCACAGGTGTCTTTCTTTCATGACTGTGGTTATTAGTTGTAGTCTCGAGTTTTTGTATTTTGTGCAATGAATAGAAGATGCATTAGAGTCTTGGTCTTCTGATTTTGGCAGGAGCAATTTCAATTTCTATTGCTGATGTTAAGGAAACTCTTGAGGTAGGAGTTGAAGTTTCCACGCTCCTTGATCATTTGAATGAAATGGGGGGTAGGAATAAAAGGCTTTATATTCCTGCTGTCGAGGATGTTTGTGAAAAATGTGTCAATCTTCCAGCTGGAGGTGCAGGAGTGAGGCCTCTAGGCTTCTGTACATTGCGGTTATTGAGCCAATTCTATCTTATAGCTTAGAAATATTGGGCATAGCAGTGAACAAAGTCTACATGAAACATAAACTACTATCTGCTCAAAGGCTCTCAGTGATATCAATCACAAAGGCCTACAAAACTGCCCCTGCAGATGCTCTGCTGGTCATAGCCAACCTCATCTCTATCGATCTGATTGCTAAGGAAAGGGTATGGAAGTTCTACCAGCTTAAGTTGGCCACTCACACTATAAGCAAACAGAGTTTTTACATTACCAAGTGCATAGGCATCCAGTCAGCTGCCACATTAATTGCCGACCACATCAAAAAACACAAACTGGACTACTCCCCACAACCTCATGCATTCCACCTGAAGACATCAATAGATACGCATATCAACTTAGAAGGTAACAACACCCCATCTGGGCTTAGCATTTACACTGATGGATCAAAGTCCAACAAAGGTGTTGGATGTTCTGTGGTGGTTATCCATAATGAGAAAAACTTATACCAGACCCAGTACAAGCTGTCAGATCACTGCACTGTCAACCAGGCAGAGTCAGTGGCCATTCTTAATGCACTCAAGTGGACACTCAATAATGCACGGCAACTCAACACAGACCGAGTCACCATATTCAGTGACAGTAGAGTAGTACTGCATCAGCTCAAGAAGTTAAATGGGAACTATCCCACGACCTACCATAGCATTAATATTATACTTCAGCTATGGCATACCATCAACATCAGCTTGGCCTGGGTAAAAGATCACTCTTGCATCCTGGGCAATGAGAGGGCTGATCTGCTGACTCGTACAGCTCCAGAGAGAAATCACTGTATTTCTTTTAGTTCTACTCCATTAACTTGGCTTCACAATCAGATCTGTGCACATACACTAAAGTGTTGGCAGAGAGGGTGGGATGTGAGCACCACAGTGAGGGAGGCTCACCCATCAGTTCACACCATATGTCCATCATCTCCGTAAGTGCAAGCAGCTGGTCTCCTCCATCACACAAATCCTCACGGGGCATGGAAATTTCCAAAGCTACTTACTTAGATTTCTAAATAAAACTGATGGGCTTTGTCCATGCCCACTTGGTGATAAGGAAGATCTGCAACACATTCTGTATCACTGTCCAAACTACTCCAGCCAGCTGCACAGTCTCATATGGGAGGTGAATTTAAATAATGAGCACTGGCCATGTGAACTTAGTGTTTTCATCAATAATGAAAACATTCACAAGACTCTAAAGCAATTCATTTGGGACATAAAAATACTGGAATGAACTGCATCGCATGTACTGTCAAGACTGCCTTTACGGAGTGGGCTTTCACCCCCCTGGGGGCTGGTTTTCTTCTAGGTTATCATATTGTTCTTTGAGTGGTCATTAGCATACACGACCTGGCAATGTCATTTGCGATGGCTTGCCCTGTTGGGCTTTGGGCACTGTCTCTGTCTTCAACTCGTGAATCATCTGTAAATATTTTGTCCACACGGCAACACTTGCACATACAAATTATGTCACAATTTCTCTATTGTATCATTGGATCTTGCAACTGTAAAGCTGATTGTCGGGACACCATTATGCAATTGTAATTGTTTCTCGACTATTGTATGTCTGTATATCTGTACAAACTTAATGTAAGTCTTTGTTTTCTAAATAAATGCGGTGCCCATGGACCTATGGTTCCTCTTTCCCCGTATCCTATCTTGCTTTGCTTCCCCTTCATCCTAAGTTCTTCATAACAAACTTTATTCCTTCTTTCCGTTTCTGGTTTCATCCTATACCACCAAGTGCGGCCCTTAACCAATTTCATACAAATTTCATACGAGTCTTTCAGTGTCTCTGGAATCCCACTCTACCTGCCATGTCTTGATTGATCCTTTCATGAGCTGATTGTTGATCTAAAAGGATGGATGGTAGTACAGGAATAGTTTTCGGTCCTATTGGGATCTTTCTTTGCTAAGAAGTCTGCTCTGTCATTGCAGATATTGTTGGAATGTCCTTTAACCCAGAAGAAATGAATACAGAGGATATTCTAAATTTGACAGAGTCAGTGATAATAGGGAATTTTAGGTACATTTTCCTCAATTGGTGGAGTGCAACCCAGCTGTCCAAAATTATCAAAACACTTACTAAAACACCTTTTCTTGCAGCCAAAGTTTATAAGAGAAACTTTCTAACGTTTTCGGTCTTGTTAAAAGACCTTTTTCAAGAAAAATAAATCAAATAAAACAACAAATTGTAAATCGAACGCTTAGTACAACTAACACGTTTTTTGAATATTTTCGAACTAGCTTATAATCCGTTGCAAATGACGTCATTGTGAACTTAGCAACGGAAATATAAAAAAGATTACATAAATATCTAAATATAAATACATATAGTTACCATCTCCCTACATCATTCAAAAATACATAGCCTAAGATACATAGTAAGTACTTCCCTCAATTATTAAGTTTATATTAAGCTAGAGGACCATGCTGCCGATATTTTTGTCGATTCCCGAAAGTTGACTGCAAGGCCTTTATGCTTTGCCTTACAAATCTGCCAGGCTTCCGCGTAATGCCGGTGTTTCCTGTCGCGGACTATCTGCATTAGTCTTGCTTGGTCCCATTCAACTTTGACATCTTGCTGGTCCGCTAGAACATAGGGGGCTAGCGCAGTGCAAGGTTGTTTTTTTCTCATATTTGCTTGATGTTCTGCTAACCTGTCTTTGATACATCTTCCTGTTGCCCCTACATACAAGTTAGAAAGTTTCTCTTATAAACTTCGGCTGCAAGAAAAGGTGTTTTAGTAAGTGTTTTGATATTACAGTATGCAGTCTCGAACGATTTGTCCAAAATTATATTTATTATCCTGCTCATTAAGGCCTGACAGGTGGAGTGAACAAATTTCAGGGCCTTCAAGATGGCTAGTGACTTGGCCTGATTTGTTGGTACAGTGGTTGTGGTGTTTGTAAGTGCTTTGATTAAATATTATTTTCCTATCATCTGCAACCACAAAGGAACATCCCACTCCATTGTTTGACTTAGACCCTGTCTGTCTGTGTATATATATTGAAGCCTGCCTTTGTGTCAATAGTCTCAGTTAATTTTGTCAGACAGTATATGTTATGTTTGTTTATGGTTTCTTCAAATGAAACAATAGTACTTTGAGAACTTTTTTACATCTTCAACTCTTTTATTATAAAAAAGATGATAATTTTATAAATTTCCTACATTTATTCTATTGAGAAATATTTTAATTATGATAATGTTTACATTTAAATACACACATATTTTCTACTTAAAGATATTGAATGAGTTAATATAATTGAAGTTTTTATAATTTTAGGAGATTGAAGAAAAAACGCCTCTAGTTAATCAACGATTTACAGAATATCAAAAAGCTTTAGAAACAATTTCTTGCCTTAGAAACCAATTGGCTAATTCTCTCACGGTAAATTTTAATGAAGATTATTTCAATTATTAGTATATCATAATTAATTGATTAGTAGATACTTTGTAACTTTTTGATTAAAAATGATTTTTTGACATTTTGAGAACTTGTTTAACATATAAAAATTATATTTATTTTATTTTAATAATAAAGCTGTAAGTATAATTGGCATTATTTATTTTAGGATCAAGAATGTTTACAATCAGAAAGAGATGATGCAAAAAGAATTAGTTCACAGTTACAAAATGAGAACAAAAGATTAAGACAACAACTCTCAGATGTTTCTCAACAGGTACTATGTTAGATTTATCCTATAAATGAAGTATTTTAAAATGTAAAAACATCATTTAAGATCCTTTGAAAGGATAAGTGATGAAGAGTAAGTTGTTAATCAAATTAATAGAAGAAAACTGAAATTCATGCTACTATATAGTCTGTTTCAAAATTATAAACACACCCAACTTTTTTCAATAACAAAAACATTAACAATAGTAATGTATTTATTACATTAGTATGTTGTTTACAACATCAATTTAAACATTATTTTGAAATTTTTAGAGCTATCTGACAATTACAAAAAAAATTATCACAGATTTTTAATTGTTTCAAAAGTATAAACACAGATGCATAAAAAATGATTTGTGATGTTTCAATATTTTGTAGGTCCACCATTTGATTTAATTAATTCAAATACTCTGTCAGGCATATATTTTATTAGTTTTTGAAGTTTTTCTTGTTCAATTTTCTAACAATCCATGATAGCTAATTTCAGTGCATTTACAGTATTGTATTGTCTGTTTTGGCTATAAACAAGATGACTCATATTGTCCCAAACATTGAGTTCATATCAGGGCTCCATGATGGCCAATCAATTGCATTAATTTTTTCCAACAAACCAATTTTTCATTGACTTTGATGTATGAATGACAGCATTATCCTGTTGGAATTGCTAGTTTTTTCACCCAATAAGTGATCCAAAAGTTATTAAATTTTGATACAACAGTTCTTTTTACTTTTCTGAATTCATTCTATCTTCTATAAATAGAATGTCTGTTTTACACTTCATCCAAATTCTGCCCACACATCATCATTTCTCACAGCCCCCTTTGCTGTCTGCTTATTCTGATTTCGTTCTTCTCAAATCATGCCAGTAGTAACTATAACTGTCAGGTCCATCCACATTCCATTTTTTTTTTTTAATCTGAAAAGACTGTTTGTTTCCACTTCTCTTTCCATGTCATCTTGTCTTTGGCCCACTTTAATCTAGCTGTTATGTGCAATTGTGTTAATTTCGATTTGGCAGCCATTTTTGTAAATTTGGCATTTTTATGATTATGCATACATCTCCATACAGTTGCTGGTGAAACTGCAATTGGCAATGTTGATGCTGATTCTCTGACAGACAACTTGTTGACCGTCAGTAGCCAAAAAACTTTTCTTTCATTTCTAAGTGTAATGAGTTTAAGCCTTCCACAAAGCTTATTTCTGCCATAATTTTTATCCTGAGTTAACATATTTCTCACAGCTCATGTAAATTGATTTACAGCTGCTGAAATTTGTCTTAGAGATTGTCCTTCTCCTTTTAGTTGGTAAATTTTACATATTTATAACTCTGTTAGTGTTTTTCCAAGAGGCGTTGTTTTAAATCACAAAAAAATGTTTAAAATTGGTGCTACATTTGTAATAATGAATGATACTACTCTCTGGTAATAACTAATTAAACCAATAATCAATAAAAAGAATTATCATACTAATTTTATTTACGGTACCTGTGTTTATACTTTTGAACAATTAAAAATTGAAAATCTGTGATAATTTTTATTGTAATTGTCAGATAGCTCTAAAAATTTCAGAAAATGTTTAAATTGATGTTATAAACAACATTCTAATGTAATAAATACATTACCATTGTTAATGTTTTTGTTATTGAAAAAAGTTGGGTGTGTTTATAATTTTGAAATGGACTATAATGTGTATTGAAAAAATAACAAAAATTTTTTGCACAAAACATTTTATGATATAAGAGATGCAGTATTTTTTACTTAGTACAATATTATTTTATATGAGTGCACATTCTTTTAACTGTTGATAGTAGGATGAAAATTACTGTACATGAAGAGAAAAAATATTGTTTGTTGATTTTTCAAGAAACTTTTCACAATGAGTTATCTGATTTAAACAAAATTTATTTTAAATGCAAATTATTTTCAGGTGTGTGTTCTATTGAAAGAAGTTGAAGAAGCCAGGGCAGGACATGCAAGTTCTCGATCACTCACTGAAGAAGAAATTGTTTCTTCCACTGATGAAACAACTGCTGATAAAGTTATCTCCAAGCATTTAGTGACATTTAGGTACATTAATTTAAAAATTTTTGATATTTTGGAAAACAGAAATAATCAATAAATCTGGTAGCTGATTTTCTCTTACAACAAATTAGTTCATTGGCAGTGTAGAAAGATATTTCAAGAGTTTTTGGCTATAGGCATGTAGATAGTCAACACTCAGCACATAGCATTTCCATGACTGTTTCAATATAGAAAAGTATTTGTTATATAATTATTTAAACAATTGACACTGAAAATGAAGTAACAATGGCTTGATTTTAGGAACTAAAATTTGTTTCCAAATGACAGGAAGATCTCCCCTTGTCTTTTTCAGAAGGGACAACAGGAATTATGGTGGACACTTGAAAAATGTATGTCTCAATTCTGTTTTAAATTTATGGTCTACTCACAATTGAAAAAGTTTATTTAATGGAATTAGATTTTCCATTATTAAATGGAATTTTTGTTCACTCAGACAGAAGGTTTCAAGAAAGTTTGTTTAACAAAGAAAATAATAGAACATTACACTCAACTTTTATTAAATTGTCTAATTAAAACTTAATATCATATAATCTTAGAATAAACAGAACACCTTGTAATTCCAGCAGTAAATTTAATAAATCAAAACATTTTCAACCTTATATTATAAGCTTGCCTCAGTGAAGTACATGAATTTAAAATAAAATGAACAAACAAAAGCAAATTGAATTTGTGACTGGAGGGTCAGCATTTGTTCGATGCCCTGTCAGGAATGACACCACTGTGTTGGTGGTGTCCCAATGGACATGGAAGGCGCTACGGCAAATCAGTTTGGATTAGAAAGTAAGTCATGCGAGCAGCTGCATGAGTGAGCGATCGGATTCGGGATGGAGACTGCGAGATAGTGAGCAGGAAGTGACTCATGTAGTGACTAGGTTAACAAAACAACCGTTTATTTGTAAAGGAATATAAATTTTAAATTGTTAAATGAGTTATAATAAATCAAACTAAAATAGTTCTAGATATCTCCACGTTTCTCAAGAGAGAGAGTTTACATGAGGTTCATGTGGTGATAAATAGCTGTAGTTGAAGGATTTGGTTGTAGACTTGATGCCGGAGAGGATTTGGTCTACTCCTTAGAAAGATTGAATAAATGCAAAGGTTTGCATGTCAGAACAGTTTTGGATAAGATGTATTCCAGGAGTAGATTTTAGAATTATTTCGGGTTGATGACAAAGTTATTCCATTTCGGAGGCACAAATGTTTCCGGTCCTAGTTGATAGGGTAATTTGTTTTGGAGCACAGATTATCAGTTGAGGAACTGGTGACAACTGCCTAAACTTGCAGTTCCTTGCTATATCGAACTGATGAAATGTAGACAATATGTCGGAAGATTTTGACGTCTTTATTGCTGAGAATTTAACAAAATATATATAAATGGTTTGCTGTATATTAGTTAATATGACGATTTTTGTCTCTGTAATTCAAAATTATTCTTCGTAGACAAATCTCACAGCAATCTTATTGGCAAATTTAATTTATTTTGTAAAGACTACATTAAATGCATTTCGGGCTGGTCTAATATTTTCCAGTCCCTCTTCAGTGAATAACCGCTGGTGGTAATTACAATGATATTTCCATGGGAAGGGGTGGTAAACTTTGCACATATTTGTAGGAATCAAGTTTAAGAAACTTTTCCACACATGTGTATAATAAACATACTAAAACCAACCAATTATTAAAATATTCTTTGACAAACAATTGTATAGATAACTCCAAAGATTTTTTAACATGATTAGCATCCGTATACAATCAACACTTCACAACAGTAATGTTGTGAAGCGGTTATTCACTGAAGAGGGACTGGAAAATATTAGACCAGCCCGAAATGCATTTAATGTAGTCTTTACAAAATAAATTAAATTTGCCAATAAGACTGCTGTGAGATTTGTGTACGAAGAATAATTTTGAATTACAGAGACAAAAATCGTCATATTAAAATTAGAGAATTTAACAAATGATTTACTCCCAGGTGTGAAAGTTGACAGTTATCAGACAAAATTTTATTATCAAGATGTTATGTTATGATTTAGTTATATAAATAAATTACATAGTGCAGAGTCTCACATCACCCCAGTCTTTCCACAATCGTGCTTTTTCTGAGTGGGCAAGATCAATTTTAATTTAGTTATACAATGATATGAAAATCATTGGCCATCAGCACTCTGTCTCTCTCTCTCTCTCTCTAGGATAATATAGAAACAAATATATATATATATATATATTGTTATCCAATATATATATATATATATATATACTGACTAGTAAACAAAGATTTATCACATAAAACCACATATAATGGTTTTTCTCTGAGATGCGTAGTGTTTACAGATAGGATTTCCTACTCTCTTTCTTTCTCTGTTACACGGTCAAAACAAAACCACAATGACACAAGAATTATACATGGGAATAATTGTTTATTATTATTATAAGATAGATTTTTTTTTATGGGTTACATAAGGTAAATATTATGATGCACAAAAGTAGATTACATTGGTGATATGATGATGATATTTTGATATTATAGATATTATGTGTATAAATGTTAGTGAGTTAAGCAGATAGGAACTTTAAGGATGATGGTTACAGCTATGACAAGGGCAGAAATGGATTTTTACCTTTTTCCTTTTTGACTAGATTTTACTTCTTTCCTCCATTGGAGGGCCAGCTCATTGAAGAAGAGATAAATTTGGGAATTTGACTTTGTCGAGGAGGCTTGGGGATCCAAGATTGTTCTTCCACCAGTCCTTGGCTTCTCAAAGTATAAGAATGTGAGGGAGTTGGTTCACTTTGTTCTTCCTCGATGAAGGGTTCTACTGCTTCGTCCTCTCCACCTTCAGATTCATCTTCAGATTGTTATGGAATTTTGGTTAGAATGAATTCGTCCCATGGATCCACAGTAACTGATGTATCTAGTGATAATAATTTGGGTTTCATAGATGTTGGAGTAGTAGGTAGATCTAGAATCTTTGTCTTCTCAACTTCCTGTCGAGTTGTGCAATGTTTTAAGTGATTAGCGTGAACTTGGAGTCACTTTTTCGTTTGAATATTTTCAATTATAAATGTGATGGGGCTCAATTCCATTATAATTCGGATGGGACCTGACCATCTTGGTTCTAGTTTTCTCTTTAGACCCTGGGATACAACTACCTCATTAAGGAAAACACGGTCGCCTACATGATAGATAGGTAGTTTATGAGTGCGGCGATGTTGTCTTTGGTGTTCTCTAGCGGCTTGCTCTGCGTGTTATTGCGCTATTTGGTGTGCATTAGCCATTCAAAGGTGTAGCTCCGATGCAAAGTTATCATCTATATCGTATCTAGTCTGGGTAGGATGTGTAAGAAGGTCAAATGGGTAAGTTGGGTCTCTTCCATACAGTAAGGGAAATGGGCTATTATTTGTAGAAGCATGAATAGTGGTATTATATGCAAATAATGTGTAAGGGATCCATTCATCCCAGTCTCGTTGATCTTCGGCAACATAGTGCAATATAATGTCAATGATAGTTTTGTTAAATCTTTAGACTATCCCATTACAGGTAGAATGATATGCAGTCATAAGGAGTCTCTTAATATGAAATAGTTTGCATACCTCCTTAACCAATGTTGAAATTTTTCTTTGTTGTCCCATGTTGAATTTTTGTCAATTTTAAGCCTAACGAAATGTTTTTTTAAAATAATAATCATGGCAACTGTATTGTTAAAAATTATTTTTTTTATTTTTCACAAATAAAATAGATATATTAATAAATATAAAAACAAAAAAAAAAGACATTTTCAAAATTTGTTTTAATATAAAAATTATGACGTATAGCGACATCTAGTATAAAAAATGTTCCGATGCAGAAATGAATATATTCAGGGTCAACAAACAGGGTAGGTCAAATGAGGTCAACATGAAAATATTCGTGAACAACATGGGACAGGTTAAACATTTTGGAGATTAGATTTGGAGCCTGATCCATAAGAAGTTGGATAGGAGTTGAATGTCTTAAGACAATGTTGGTAACAAAGCAATGGTTTTACTATGAATGTTAGGTAAAAGTATAGCTTCGGCATATCAGCTAAAATGGTTGATAAAGACCAATATATATTTATTTCTGTTGTGATAGGTAACAGACCTACAATGTCCACAGCCAGTTTGTTCGAATAGATGTGTCAGGGGAGGAAATAATTGTAGTTCAGTCAGCTTTGATTTGTGTATCCTTTCTCTTTTGTAGGGTGCATTGTTGACAATCTTGACAATAGTTTTTTTATCTTTTTTCATGGTTTGCCAAAAAAATAACAATCGAAGTTTCTGTTGCATCTTTTGTGCTCCTAAATGACCTCCGACAGGAGCATCATGATAAGTACGTAATATATAGGCGGTATAACTAATTGTTGTAAGGGTTCTCTCTGATTGGTAGGTTATAAATGATAGAAGGCTTCTTCCTCATCTAAAAAAAAATTTTCTAGAGTTTGGAATCTAGGGTGGTTTCATCTTTGAGCTTCTGAATTATGGGATTCCATCTGATATTTGTCTCTGTAATTCTCTGATTTGGGCCTTTGAATAAATGGATTTAAGTTCCTCGGCCTCCACGATTTGTCAGATAGGGATATGACTTAGCATGTCTGCATTTTTGTGGCAATTTCCTGCTTTATGTTTTACTTCAAAATCAAATTCTTGTAAAAATATAATCCAATGGTGATTCGACAATTTGTACTAGAGTCCTTGTTGCTCATGAGCCACCTTAAGGGGTGATGATTGATGATAATAGTAAACCTACTTCCATATAAATATGGTTTAAAATATTTGGTGGCCTAGACAATTGCTAGGCACTCCTTAGTGATTCTATAGTTTTTTTTCAAGTTTTCGTAGCATGCAACTTGCATAAGCAATTGGCATTTCATCTCTTTCGTCTTCTTGCGATAATATTGTGCCTATAGCTTCATTAGAGGAGTCTGTAGCCAAAGTAAAAGAGAAATCTGGTGACTTTAAAAGTGGAGCAGAAGTAACTATTTCCTTCAGTCTCTCAAAGCTATGTTCTTGTTCTTCTCCCCACTGGAATTGGGTGTCATTTTTCAATAGGCCAGCTAATGGTTTTGCAATATCCACATAAGATTTGATGTGATGCCGATAATATATGGTTAGTCCTAAGAAGGATTTGATATCATGTTTATTTGTTGGTCTGCGAAAGGTCAATACGCATTTGATTTTGTCTGGATCTAGCCTTATCCCTTTGTCAGAAACGTTGTGCCCCAAAACTTTGATTTGACGTTGCAAGAAATGACATTTTTTTGGTTTTAATTTTAAGCCAGTTGCATTGAAAAAATTTGTTCTAACTGTGTCAGATGACTTTGAAAGTTGGGACTATAGGTCAAAATATCATCCATGTAGATTAGACAAGTTTTTCCTTTTAACCCATGAAGGATAAAATCTGCGGCCCATTGCCAAGATGCTGGGCTCTGCAAAGACTCATCGGCATACAATTCCACTGATAGTGACCATCAGGGCTAGAAAATGTTGACTTCTCTTTATCTCTCAAGGCTAGTTGCCAAAATCCTGATAGTGTGTCCATTGTTGAAAAGTATTTAGACTGTTCCATCAAACTGAGCACTTCTTGAACTAAAGGTAAGGGATAAGTGTCCGTTTTAATGATTTTATTTAATTTTCTGTAATCAATAACAAGGCGCCACAATCCAGAATCTTTCTTCTAGACCAATAATGCAGGAGCTGACCATGGTGACTTAGAATGTGTTATTATCCCATTATCTAATAACTCATCAATAATCTTGTTCATTTGTTCTCTCTGAGCATAGGGTATCCGATATGGAGGGTTGATATATGGGAGAAGCATCTCTGGTATTTATTTTGTGTTCTACTATGTGGCAATGTCCCAAGTCATAATTGTGAGTTGCAAAAACATGTTTGTATCTATACAGTAGGCCTAATATAGGTTGCTTTTTTTCCCTTTTCCATTATGGGACCAATCGAACAGCTGACTAAATTCATCCTTGGTAAGATTCCGAGTAGATGGTTGATTGATAGATTTCATATTTGTGGGAGTTTTGTCTTGTGCAGCCCCAAAAAGATTCCTACACATTTGCCCTTTGGTAGTTTCCTAGGTTGGGTGAAGAGGTTTGTTATGTGGATAGGCACTTGTCCTCGCTTCTTAGTTTTTGCTAGGATATCTGCCCCTACAAAACCCCTCTTGCTTAAGTATTCCTGCTTCTGTAATTCCAAGTTTGCCCTTCTGCTTTATTCCTTTCCAGTGATTTTTGCCATAGTAATTATTTCTGTTCTTGGGGGTAGATTACAATCTGCCAACAAAATTACATCTAGAGTTTGTTCTCAAGGTATATTTTTAGGTGAGTAGCTTTGGTCATAGGATGGTTGGGAGTAGGGTAGGCATTAGATTTTATATATGTTCATCTACAATCTTGTTTTCTATACACCTGTGCCAATTTTGTTTTTTCCTTTAATTCAGGGCCCGTTTGGAAGTGGATCTCCTCTCCCTCTAGGAGAATTAATTTTTTCCTTGCTAAATAAATCGTTAACCTCTGTGCTTTAATGATATCTCTCCCAAGGAGTCTGTCAAATGGTTTGGTAATTTGATCATCCACTACATAACAAGAATAGGAGAACCGCAAGAGTCTGATAACAAAGCGGAACTCCATGGCTCCATATGTTTTTATTCCATGGCCTGTAACACTCCAGAACAGTACCTTTCCTTTTCTCCTATTTAATTTTATTTGAGCTACTCTTTGAGCCGAAGATCCGGATAGAAGCGTTACTTTAGAGCCAGTATCTATGGGCAGTCAAGCTGAATAGCTGTTAATCCTACAAGATAAACTCTGTTTAGAATTGCAGCCTAGTGTTCTAATTCCTCCTCAGTTTAGAATATTAAATGTGCTTTATTTCTTGCTTAGTGCATGTCTGTCGTGATCAGAGATCAGAAGTGATTATTCTCTCTATATGGTTGAGAGTAATCCAATCATGGATAGCAGGGGAAACCTGCAGTTTCTCTTAGGGGGCTCTTTCTAAGTCTTCGCCAATGTATTTTATTAATTCACTCATATGCCTGTCTCTTATGCGGTATGGAATTTGTCCGCATTTGTAAGTTTTTTTGTCTTCTAGTTATATTAGATATATTCCTCGTTCCATATCAAGGAGTATACATAGATTCTTGGAGGTCTTGGTTCTCGATCCTCGCTCTACCAAAAGATGTATCTCGGGTGCCTTGGGAGTTGTCACTTAGTCTTCCTCAGGGTTGATATCGTGATCATGAATTTAGATATTCTCAAGGACGCCACAATGACGGGGTCTACATCGAGGATGTCTTCATCTACATTCTTGGGCTCCTAGTTGCTTTAGTTGCTCCTGGATTTTCGTTAAAGTTTCCTCTAATCGACTGTGGTGTGTTGCATTAGATTCTTATTTGTTATCACTAGGGTTATTTATAGTTCTTACTATCACTCAATATTTCCCTATTAGTTGATCTATAGTTTCTTCACTAATTGCTGCTCGCCCTATCGAAGGTATCAGGTTCCCGTGACATTACCTGTTGCTTTATCTGGTCATTGAGCCCACTAAGAAATTGCACCCTCAATCATTTGTCTCTCTCTTTTTGTTGGCACCTTTTAATAACTTCCTCCTCCTGGGCATCCTGGCTAGTTTGTTCTATAATCATTTCCAATCTAGGGTCTGTAATTGTACAGCATAGGTTTGTACGTCCTTGTCCCGCACTTGAATGCAGGCATGAAATTTTTGCAGCCATAAACAAAAAGGTTCTTTTTCAGATCTCTTAATCAAACTTGTTGTATGTTTTGACTTCTTTTATCCTTGCATTCTTCCATGCAAAATCTCTAGCTATACCCATCAATTTTAGTTTGGCAACTCCTAAACACTACGCCTTCGCCCAATTGGTTAACTTAGCTATTTCACCTAGCAATTCAAAGAAATCAGTGACCTTAAGGCCATCAGCATTCCCTGCAAAGGGGGGGTATTAAAGGAAACATGCCCCAAGTCTGCATAATGCAGCACTTCCTGCTGTCTCTCCACGTGCATGTCCTTCGCTTCTAGCCTCCATCCTCTAGATTTGATTATGATTAGTTATTAAATAAATTACGTAGTGCAGTGTCTTACAAATTCAATGAAAATAATTTTAAAATTAAATAGCATTCTGAAGAAAACACTCACATAGAAATTAAAATTAACAAATTAATTAAATGTACAAATGAACAAAATGGTATGAAAGTAATAAAAATAGAGATTAATATAAACAAAAACCAAAATTACATTGTATAACTGGACTTCCATGCTGTAGGCAAGGTGTCAGAATCCCTATGATTGATACAAAGTCGTTTTTAGTTGGTTTTAAAAATTTCTAACGGTTCTAGGAACTTAATAGTAGTAGGATTTCTAGCAGGTTTAATGATTCTGACCTCTTCCCATTCTATTCTTATATCTCGTTCAGCAGCATAAGCTGCTAATGCAACAGTGTTGAGATGCTTTTCAACAGTGTATTTATGCTCCTTAATCCTTTGTGACAAAGTACATCTGGTAATTCCCACATATGTTAGATTTGTATCAAAACACTTCTTGTTTATATTAATCCCTCTTATTTGCATGTTTAATTAATTTGTTAATTTTAATTTCTTTGTGAGTGCTTTCTTCAGAACACTTTATTTTTTAAATTATTTCCATTGCATTCAATTTGCTTTTGTTTGTTCATTTTATTTTAAATAAGTGTACTTCACTGAGGCAGGCTTGTGATATTAGGTTGAAAATGTTTTGATTTATTAAATTTACTGCTGGAGTTACAAGGTGTTCTATTTATTCTGTTTCTTACTCTCCAGTCAGATCTTATTTATTTATATAATCTTATTAAACTTGTAAAATTTATTAAAGATAAATTTTGCAAATTTTAAAAATTATTAATAAACTGGAAAAAATTCAATCAGAAATTAATATTTTTGTTATACAATCAAAATTATTAAAATAAAAATTGAAAAATTGTAAGAAGTACAGTTTAAATTATATTTATTATCATCATTTTCACTTCTATCTGAATTTTTAGAGTAGTTCATTAACACCTGCCTTTGAATTGATGATGTGAATGGTAATTGTGAGGGATTTGGAAAGAATTAAAATATTTTGAAAACAAATTTTTATCAATATGTATTAAATTATTAGAAGTTCTTTCAAATTAATAATTTTGCTTAACTAGCACATTACTGTATTTTTGAGTTTTGATGTCATTATTTCAGTTATTTTATTTATTCACAGGAAAACATTGCTATAGCTTATTCTTCAGTTTTATTTCATATGCCTACTACCTAATAATTACATCTATTTGCTATGTATAGGCTTGTTTTTCAAACACTAAAAGCAAGACCTCATTTTATGAGATAACTCATAAGCAGAAACCAGTAACAGATTGCCAACTATGAGTTAACCTGTATTTGGAAGGCAATATGAAAAGTAACAAGAATGCATAAGTAATTATGTATTCTGAAAATGTCAATATGTATCCAAATAGTTTGAGATATGTTGTTATATTACTTTAGCTTCTGTTTAATTTATTTTTTCTTGTACTTGTTTATTTTTTAATTTAAAGATTATTTATTTATTATTTGGGATTATTATTTTATATTTATAAACATAAATGATTTATTTCCAGAGATATAGAAGAGTTGCAGACTAAAAATCAGCAACTTTTGGCTGTTGTCAGAGAATTGAGTGAAAATCAAGAAGAAAAAGAAATGAAAGCAGTTGAAGATAAGTAAGTTATTCAACATCATTTTATTGCAATGATTAAAATACTTAATTTTTACATTTTTGAAATATATTGTAACATCAAATATGGATAATACAGGGTCTTCTCAAAATACCTCTGTGATTTCAAAAATTTATATTATTCTCAATAAGTGAGATATTAGAACTGAACATTTGTCCTCAGTTTTTTGGGGCACATGGCATTCAGTAAAAATAGATGTACTGTGGTATCAGTATCATGGCAATCATCTACCAGAAAGATTTGTGATTTAGTTCATCAAAAGCAAAGCTGCTGTTACTGTTCAATGAAATTTTTGTTATGATTATTGTAGTAGGGCACCTTTCAATAAGAGTATTCGTCAGTACAAAATTCTGAAAAAAAAAAACTTGAAAGTATATACTTTCATTTCATCTTGTAATTCAAATGAAATTTCTTATTTATCATTTATTAAATTGTGTATGAAATATCAGAGTTATTTTGTGAAGATTGTGTGCGTGTGTGTTTATTTACATTCATGTATATGTAGGATTTAACCAATTCAATGTTGAAATTTGTTGCCTGTGACGCAATGATGAATTTTTATGGATGTCAAGCCAAAAATTTTTTTTTTCTTTTTTTTAAAATAAGAATCGTGTTTACTGTATCGTAAAAAATTATTTTTTTATTTTCACAAGCAAAATAAATATATTGAATAATATAGAAACAAAAAAAAAATTATACTTTAAAAGTTCATTTTAATATAAAAATTGTGATGCATAGCGACATCTAGTATCAAAAATGTTCCGATGTAAACACGAAAATATTCTGGATTGCCCACGTAGGTGTGAGGGCCAGGATTTAAGAATGTTGAGATTCGAATATTTTTATTCATTTTCATCTACTGTTTTTGTTTCAAAACCAAAATGATTTTATAAAAGTTAGGATTAACTCAAAAAGAGAAAAACAACCAACAAATTTTCTCCAAAAAATCGATCATAAAACTCAATTCCCACGAAAATACTTCCTTGTAGAAGATGAGTTAACTGTTGTGTCATAATTTTGTCACTTCACCCACCATTGGTCAAAGAAGATCATCACCTGTGACATACATGGGGAAATCTCAAAAAGAGAGCCCCCATATAAAAGGCAAGTGCGATGACGACACACAGGGGAACGTTATTCTTCTGTACTGTGTGTGTGTGTGGATTTCCCTGCTTCTCGTTGCCGCTGTCTTCGATAGACTTTCGATTCTGAACTTGATTACGAACACTGGGAATAACAAGAATTCAGATATCACCTAGACATCAACGTTTACAACTAGAGGTATTTATCTTACTCACAATGATATGTAAGCTCTCTCTCTCGAATACTTTCGAAACACGGTTAGGATCGCGACTACTATCTATTGTCAGCTACCTTTTCCGAATGGAATTACCTATACGGAATGTTAACCTGGAGAGAGATATGTGATCTCAAACCCTGAATAATCTATAACCATGTAAATACGTTCTACAATAAATGGGTATATTGTTAATGAAATTGGATTGGTGTGCATTTCTTCCTATATTATCACCTCCATTCTGAACCGGAAATCATGAACGAGATCGCTCTTGTTAAATTGACTTCACTTAAAAGCATATCTATCTGCCGATAAATTGATAGATTGGTGTCAGATCCTGACATGAAATAATGATCCTTAACTCTATAACCCTTCCGCTCGACAGAACCCATCCTTTATCCTTTGAACAAGAGAGACCAGACCTCAAGGTCTTGAATCGATTAAGAGGTAGGAGAGTCCAGAACTCGTAACATCCTATCCCCAATTAGTCTCACATAGGTCATTGAAGTCAACATGAATATTTTTGGGAACAACATAGGACAGATTAAAAAAAAATTGGCATTACATTTAACAACAGAATTATGGAAAACAGCTTCATGTGAAAAAATTAACAATGGAATGGATTTAATGTTATTTGTGGTTTTTAATTATATTAATTTTAATTTTATTAATACAGTACTTTCATGTAGAATAGTTCAAAGGATGATGAGGATCTTAACATTTGTGAAAATGAGCATTTACACAATGTGATATGTTGCTGATATCTTATGTTTTAATATGTTATTAAATTTATAAAATTAAGAATAGTATGCAAGAATATTATACTTCTAATTTTAGAAATTACAGGATGTATATTTAATGTGAAATTTTGCAATGTCCTATTTTACAGTTAATAAGAAAACAATTATTTTAATAATATTTTTTGGACACTTTTAGTACATTTTATTTACAGCTTTAAGAATTCACTTATTTTAAGAATAAATTGAAAATCTTTTAAAATTTTGTTATTTGGATAATGAATGTAGAAAAAATTTAAAAGTTTATTGTATAGGTAATTTGTGTGTGATAATCAAAAATCACTAAAATAAATTTAGAATTTCAGAATATTTTACTTAAAAAATATTCAGAAACTGGCAGTGAAGTAATTGGCAAAAAATATCATAATTAGTAATATGTTGATTAAGGAAATGAGAGACAAAAGCCAAACACATCTCGACCTAAAATGCCTACTTATAAACTTACGGTATATGAATTAAGACATTTGTCATAATATGTAGAGAAATAACAGTCCTGATATTATTCAATGTGGCTTGAGTTACAGGAGAGCAACATCATAACAGTGAAATATTATTGTGTTCAAATTATCTTAATGTATTAAAGTATGATCATGATTTTTTGACAAGATTCTCAAATGCTAACAGCTTGAATAAGATGTCAGTAGTTGCATTTTTATGACTTCTAATAGTTGAATAAAAAATTCTGTGTTGAAAATACTGTTGAATTTCAACTTTGTCATATTTTAAATGATTTCAAAGAACTACACACAGAATATTATTTAAAAATATCTGTATCTTGTCATTTTTAGTAAAACTTTATTCATTAGAAGTCTTTGCCACTTAACCACTCAGCAGTGAGTGATGAATATATTCATCAAGGGCAATCATGTGGCAGTGGTGAGGGTCGAATTCTTTTGAGGGGCATTGCCAAAAACTAGCCTAAAACTACTGTGAAAAAAAATTCACATAAAAAATCAATTATGTAACAATAAAAAAAGGCTTTTCTTTACTAGACATAACTGTTTACAAAATTTTTTTGAAACAGTAATGAGTGATAATGCGTGAAAAAATACTCTAAAAATTTAGCACGTTTATTCTCCACTACTAAGGGGAGCACAATACCTGACTATTCCACTGTTGAAAGATTAATATCATTAAAATAATCATGTTGTAGCAAAATTCAAATTTTTCTCTCATAGACTAGATCACAAAGTATCTAGATTTGAAAATAAAAGTATATCAATTATTTATCAGATTGATACAGGGTAGGGTAGGGAGATGGGAGATTATAAAAGCTCAATAACTCAGCGAAATAGTTTATTTAAGAAATTACAAGTATCATCATAAAGGTAATGAAAAAATATTTTACTTTTTGAAAAAGACATCTTTGAGTTGACCTCCATTAGACTGCACACATGCCTCTATTCTCGAGCACATATCAGCTTTTACACACCACAGCATTTTCAACCAGATTCAGGTTATTTCTTTATTTCTGAGTTTGAGTTTGGTGATATTGTTTGGGTAGTTAATGTACACCTTGCTCTTCAAATATCTCCACAAAACAAAGGAAAATCATACAGCAAGAAATCAGGCAATCTTATGGACCAAGAAATGAAAACTGGAAACAACTGTCTTACAGTAATTGTGGATATTTTAGCTGTGTGAGCTGCCACTCCATATTGTTGGAGCCATGTCTGATCATTAACAACAGGATATCCAAATCTGGTTAATTCTTGTGTCAGAATTGTCTCAATCATGTGGGCATAGCAAGCTGATGTAACAGTTGTCAATTTTTGGTGAAAATGTGTCTTTATGCAAAATGCATTATATCTTTCTGTTTGAAATGTTTAACAAAACAGCAAGGTGGCATGCAGACAGCCAAACACTATGTTTGATGGCAGCCCTCATATTCATAATATTTTCTGGGGTACATAAGTTCTCACTGCATCTGGACTTTACTTTTTCAGTGCTGAACTAGTTTCCTCAAAGTTCTTAATTCATATAATGGCATGTCTGGATGGCACTGGATTATTTTGATGGATGTTGAAGTAGCAGCAAAATAACTGTTGAGTGGCCATGATACAATTATTACTTTTACAATATGTCTTAACCTGTCCTGTGGTATTCCCAAAATATCTTAGGTCAAAACATAATGACCCTGACTGGTGGACCCGAGATATCTCATTTCTGCATAGACATTTTTCATTATGTCTATTTTGTTTGTGGAAAATAAAAAAATAATTTTGGACAATGCAATAGCCACAATTATTTTTTTCTAAAACATGTAATTTTTGTTAGGCATAGACAAAAATTCAATGTGAAGCGACACACATCAGAGAAAAATTTCAACGTGGGATAGGTTAATGCAAACACATTTTCCATTAAGGCATACTATAAAAGCATATTATAAGACACTTCTTCACTAGTTCATGATTACCAAATGCTACACTCTTGATAACAGGATTGGTGAGTAAGCTAGTGCCATCCCACAAGTGTGCTGGAAAAATCAACTTAGAAAATCTCCCATTTCTCTGTCCCAACTCATATTATAAAGTTCATAATCTGATATTATATTTAATTACTTACTTAAAAGAAATTTATAAGAAATTAGATTTTTAAACAGAATTCTATGTATAATTTATTTGCTTGAAAGAATATATTGAATATTTCAGTATTTATTTTCAGAAACTATTTAAAAGAATCAGTTATGTTGTTCTCAGTTCTTTAAACAATATTCCTCAAAGTATTAAAAACACCTTTAAGTAAATAATGTATTTTTAGACTTATATTTAAATACTCAATTTCATGCTGATTATTAAAACACTGAATTTAATTATTTATTTGAATTAAATAGAAATGATCATCATGTCTAAAAAAATGGCAGAAAATCATTGAAGTTCTGAAATGTTGATTTCTCTGAAGATCTTATAACTATAATAATTACTAAGACTTACTGTTATACTAATGTAAAAAGTATTATTAAATTTATGTGCTCATTCTTTTTTATATTAATCAGTATTTCTTTCATCATTGTAAACAAAGGCCAACTATTGATATTTTGCTATATTTGACAGCTACTATACATTGTCATGATAACAGATTTATAATAAAATATTTCATATATTAAAAAATCTTTGATGTATAAGATAAAGAAGATAAAAATGAATCCAAATTATGATGATTTTTATAATTAATAACTTGAATTTAATAAATAAAACTAAAAATTAATGATGTAAAATAAAAATGTAATGGTTATTTACAGGACAGTTGAACTACATCAAGAATTGGAGACATCTGTATTACAGCTGCAGGAATTGCAGAATGAAAGATCAAAACAGACTGAATTAATTGAATCTATTGTTCGTCAGAGGGACATGTATCGTATGCTGTTGTCTCAGTATCAAAATCATTCTCCAGTAAGTTGATTACAAATACTTTTACATTTATTTTGTGTTTGAAAATCTTTATTAAAAGACTTGTGGATATTTTTGAAAGTCAAAATAATAATACTTTGATAAGTTTGGATAATTCTTTTGTAAGATGGATAAAAACAAATCATATGAATGTAACAGATTTATCTACGATGGATGTTTAATGAAATTAATAGGAGCCATATTCAAGACTAAGTCTGAATTTGTTTATGAAGGTAGAAAAAAAGTTTTCCATCATTTTTATCTAATTAAATTACAGATAAAATTGTTGAGCAGTATAAATGCTAATGAAACACTTAACAGTTTTTATTAACTTTGTTTGTAAAAATATAACATGAAATGTTTGATTTGTAATTGCTTCCTGCTATCTTGAAATCAAAAATGTTATGTACATGTGCTGCACGAGTGTATTTAAGATGATTTAATGACACACTTCATCTGTTGGCTTCTCTTGTTCCAATAAATTCACTATTTATCACACCGGAACTACTAAAAAATTTACACACCTGAACCATTTACGGTGTGATCACGCAAAAAATCGCTAAACAAACGTTTTCGAACCCCTTATGGGTTCTGCTTCAGGTTCCAATCAGTTTCTATAAAGACGTTCGATATCCGTTAGAAGTAGAAATTCGTTCGATCATGTCGTTTAAAGCTTGAAAATTCAAGCTTTTTTGCATTTTGAAAATTCAAGCAATTTTGAAAATTCAAGCTGGGTTCGAAAACATTTGTTTAGCGATTTTTTGCGTGATCACACCGTAAATGGTTCAGGTGTGTAAATTTTTTCTCTTGTTCATTCTTTCAAAAATATTTTAATTGAAATTTGTCAGTATTGCTGATTATTTTGTAAATTCTGTTTTTTTTTTTTTTTAGAGTATTTGTATTTGTTGTTGATGGAAATTGTCATCATTACTTGTTTACCAAACAATACATTATCTCTTCCTCATAACTGTAGACATGGTGTTATTTTGATTTTAGGAATTTTCCATTATGAAATGCCAACAATTGAGAAATATACTTGAAATAATTTAAAAATTTATTTAATATGTTGAAATTGATTTTATTTTATTTATGCTTGAAATAAAAACTGTAAATAAGGATTACATTTATACACAGGATAGTGAAAATACATTAAAGAGATGATAAGTAAGATCCTGGACTAATTCAGTTTTATTTAAAATAATAGTCTGTGATAAGAAAATTAATTGCACCTCACACCAAATAATGATCTAGAGTAATGTTATGATGTAATGTATTCTGTCTTATGGCATTAAAGTCAATGTTTTATTCAAAATTGCAAATACTTGCAATAGTTTACAACTGTTCTCTTCAGGCTGATTCAAGTAGACTGAAATTAAATGGACAGCTTTTTTTTTACATTTGAGCTGTGCTTGGCCATGTTTAAATTTTGATAGCTCAAATATTTAAAAGAAAAAAAAATGTTGCTTTCATGTTCTGTATTAAGTTTATTTAAATATGAAAAAATTTTGTTAATTTCATTCTAATTGAATCAACCTGAAGAGGATAGTTGTAAACTATTCAAAGTACTCACAATTTTGAATAAAATGTTGGTTTTAATGCCACAAGATAGAATATGTTACATCATAACATTACACAAGATCTGATACAAAGAACAAATCACTTATTGCTATCTAATGAGAAATTTGATAAACGTATGGAGTTTTATTAGTAGAAAAGAACAGCTCAACTGCAAAATATTCCTTCTATTGACAGCATGTTATAATTTATTAAAAAATAACCATTTTAAAACAATGAAGTAAGCAAAAGTATATTTTAATACAGTATTTTGTAAATAAGTTGTAGAAATCAATAACTATACTTCTTTTTCTTTTTTTGAATTAAAATCGCTCATGTCATAACAATAAATTATTTAATATTATGTTTTAAATTGTATTGATTAATGAAATGATTTTCAATAAAATCAAATGTACTCAGAAGACTCTTTTCACCTGTGTGCAGTGTGAGGACAGTTAGGCCCACTCATGTTGTCAGTATATGGCTTACATATGTCTAAGAGAGAATAATTGTGAAAATTTCTTCTCCTGTTAGGTCCTGACACCAGTTAAGATAGTTATCTGCATCTTTACTTGTGATTAAGAAGATAAAGATACATCTAATAGGAGGGTTTTGTGGTTCGAGTTGATAGGGGTTGGTGCTTTCGTCAATAGTAGTCCAGCTTTCAATCAACATCAAATAAACAAATAACAAAAAGTTTAATGAGTAAGATAAAGCCTTTGGGCAAACACATACAAGGAGGTTAAAATTGACAAGCTAGCTACTTAATCGCTAATATACTGAGAGAGAAAGTTTATATCAATCTAAGCATAATACCTTGTGTATACAGGTCAATGTCTTCTTGCTAGCTGATTCAGAAGAGGGAATGGTGAGGAGAATCTTCTCTCTGGAAGTTTGAACTTGATGGAGACAGTCAATAGCTGGTAGATGGGAGAGTTGATGAACTAAAGCACTTTCCTAGAAGCTTCTAGGAAAGTGCTTTAGTTCATCAACTCTCAGGACAAACACTTTCCTAGAAGCTTCTAGGAAAGTGTTTGTCCTGACTGGGACAAACACTTTCCTAGAAAAAACTAGAAAAACTAGAAAAAACTAGAAAAACACTTTCCTAGAAGCTTCTAGGAAAGTGTTTTTCCTGAGACTGGGACTTCTGCCCTTTTTTATGTATGGCTCCCCTCCAATTGGGGTGTAAGTTTTTCCTATGAGATGAGATGCATAAGCTGCATCACACAGGCAATGGGTGAGACAACTACAAATGTATTATCAGTGGGCAAGATAAGATCTCTCCACAGGAAATAAAAACTTCCCTTTGTTATCTGTTTCTCACAAACGGATAGAATAGTCTGTGTTGGGTTTCTCGCACAAAGCTAGGGAAATTTCCAACCTTAAAGAGAAGCTCTTGTTCTGTCTCCAGCTTCTCACAGCTGAAATTTAACAGAAATTTAAAATTGCTAAGTAAAATTTAAAATATTAAATATCACTAATAGATTATAAATATTCAGGTTTCTGTTACGCTTTTAAATATTAAAATTATTGGAAACTGGAGTTTGAATTGTTTTAGTTTACAGGTAATAAAATTAGATTGTAATCTAAGGTATCTTACCAAAACACAAAATTAAATCAACTGAATAAATTTAAAACAAAAATCTGTTTTTATCCAGCATAAATTAAATAAACTTGCATTTCAATCATTGGCCATGTTTAGGTTTTGGATTGTAGAGTTTAAAATACAAAGTTATGTGGGAACATGAAAGAGCAACAATAAACAAATGAACATCAACATTGTAATGTCTTATCTCTTTCTATTAAGAGCCCAGATAGTTTCCTAACAGTGCATTACATAAACAAGGGTTCAGTTAGTGCTAGGTCTGGGCTTAATTAAAGTGGGCAATAAGTAATAAAAAAAATTGTTAATGAATGAAAACCTGGAATAATTACAATGTATAATAATGAAAATATTTATTCATTAGTCTTAAGCCTGAATATGTACAATAATGAAATAAGTAGGCAAAAAATTCAAAATATAATAAAAAGATTTTTTTTTTATTTGATAAATTATGTACAATAAACTTTCCCGGACATTCGGGAACTTAAAACATGAATTATAACTATCTTATAATTATCTCCATAAAACTGACAAGAGAAATTTCAAATGTATTGAAAATTCACAGTTTAATTTTACTAATAAAGTCGCCTAATCGTCACCAAAAACTTTTATGTTGTCAATGAAACTTGAAAGCCTTGCTTTAACCTTGCTTGATCCTTAGTTTTGCCTTGTTCGAGCCTTAGTTTCACCTTGTTTTATAGTTTAGTTGTGGTGAAGTTACATGTTTATACATACTTAAATGGCTAACATTTGGTAATTTTAGTAATCTTTCTTAAGTCATATCATTGCCCTTACATTTTAATCATTTGTAAATTTTTGGGTGACAATTTGGGATGGGAGATCATTCTTTTAACTTCCTGAGGAATTCTTCCCAAGATGCTGTTTCGGGTTCAGTGACATAATAGGTTTCTGCCAGCAGTCATCATAGTAAGGTGGATTTTAGAATTTTGAATTTTGTTTGGGTGAGGTGTGAGAGTCTTTCCTTAATGAAAATAAAGTACCCAAAATAAGTAAGAAAAACAAAGTAAAAAGTCCCCAAACAAAAATAGAATGGGTTGAAACTGACTCCTTACAACATTTATCTTTTTTCCTTATATACCTGAATACTATACATTTAAACTTATTCAGAATCTAAAACATAAAAAGTTATTAAAGAATTGTTTAAAACTCATCAAAAATTTTAGTAATCTAGCACAGCTTTAATGATCTAATGAGTTTTGTTTTGAATTGTTTTATAAGTTATTACATTATTTTGAAATATAAAAGATAATTGTAATTCTTGATTTCATTTCTACAGATTAATGTTTTGTTAAAATGATAGTTTATCTTTAAATATTTATTATTTAACTTTCCAAACTTTAACAAATGTGTGTGTATAGTTGTTATTATTTTATTAGTAACTTATTAACTCTATATTTTGAAACATACTTGAAATAATAATTACAAAAGTAAATTAATATAAATTTAATTTTAAAATTTATTTTTGCTTGAAAATTGATAATACAATTTTGATAATTTTAGATTATTTCAAATTCTGTTATTTCAACATTGCCTGTGACAACACCTAATATATCACCTCAGAAAGCAGATGATTCAAATATTCAGGAAACAAAAACTGCCTTTATTCAGTTACAGAAGGAATTTGAAGTTTATAAAAAAGAAAAAGCTGAAAATACGCAGTAAGTTTATAAAATTATTTTTATAAGTAAAGCAAATATTAAATTTAAATGATATATTGGGTCGTTCAGAAAATAATTTCGTTTTTTTTTACCACTAGAGCGATTAGTCGTATTTTTCCCGCCATTTTCATTCTAAACCATATTATCATTATATATTTTGACAGCTAGCATTTTAAGGCTTATTTGTAAAAAATTTTGTTTGATTTTGTGCAATTGTTTATTTTTTGTGTCCCATCAAATACAGAAAATCGAAAGCAGCATTCTCAGAATATTTTGCTCTTTTATTACCAAAAAGGTAAGAATGCTGTTCAAGCGAGAAAAAAATTGTGTGACATGTATGGAGAAGATGTATTGACAAAACGACAATACCAAAACTGGTTTACAAAATTTCATTCTGGCAATTTCAATATTGAAGATGCACCACATTATGGATGGCCAGTTGAAGCCAATGAAAACAAAATAAAGGTACTGATTGAAGCAAACTGCCGAATAACAACACGTGAAATCACTAAGAGATTAAATTTGTCAAATTGAACCATTTATGATTACTTGAAACAAATTGGTTTCATTTCAAAGCTCGATATATGGGTTCCACATGTTCTTAAAGAGAAATGCTCTCTCTCTTTGGTGGGATTTTAAGGAAATTTTTTTTTTGGAGCTTTTACCAGACAATTTAGTAATTGATTTGAAAGTGTACTGCCATCGAGTAACCAAATTGAGTAATATCATCAAACAGAAAAGGCGGTCAGAATTGATCAACAAAACAGGTGTTTTACCACGATAATGTCAAATTTCACACAAGTTTGGTAACTCTTCAGAAACTGTTATAACTTAGATGGACTTAGATGTTATAACTAATAGCGGTATACGTTTTCTGCAGATTAATTTGGGAAAACGAATTGCAGCAACTTCCCTTCTTGCATCTATCTGCCACAAATATGATTTTATTTTAATACAGGAGCCTTATTGTCTGCATAATAACCCGGCTTACTTACCAACCCGTTATTCAATACTTAAAGGCACTGAAAATTATCCATGGGCAATTAATGTTATTACCAACACAAATTTTACCATCCTTCATCACAAGATCTTGTCGAATGAACACATTGTATGCAATGAAATTTATTTTAATANATGGATAACAACATTTTTTGTAATATTCATTGATTTATACAATTCTAATAATTTTTGCTCCATGTAGGGTCTCAACTGTCAGCTATGAAAAATTGGAAATTATTTTCCAAACAACCCAATAATTACTCATATTATTGTATGAGATGATGTACTTAAAACTTTATGCAGAATAGTCAAAATATGGTATTGAGCTGATATGAATGACTAGAGTCTTTACATTTAATACAACTTACAAATATTACATTTGGTTTTAATTATGTAATTGCTTTAAAATTTGTCAACTTAAAAATCTGAATTTGTTTTTTAATTTTGTTAATATACTTTGTCATGTTAACAGAAAGAAACTGTTATTTTTTTTTTATAATGAGATGCAAATAGAGAACTAAGCATTTATTTATGTTAAGATTAGTTATCAATAGATGGAAAATTATTAGGAAATAAGTGATAGAAACTGTAATAAATAAATTGTTTTTCCAGTATATAATCAACTCTATGAAAATCTGATACAATAATAAAGCCAACCACTGCCATATACCATTGGGCCTATAACAGTTATAATAATAATAAATTACCAAACCATTTGACTCTAGAGGAAGGTATTAGGTGCCATTGTGTAATAAATTTAATAATTATAATTACAGTAGTCACCACTGAACTTAGACCAGGCTGCATTTAACATGTCATCCAATAAATAGGTTTAAAAAAAAAGTAACTTTGATTCATTGCATGAATGCTTTACATAATTTAGAACAAATATACCGTAATTAATCTTTATTTTTGCTAAATATCAACTTGATATCTTGCAGTTTAACAAGATTGAGCCAGTGAAACTTGAGTCACAGGCATCAAAAAACATAGACTACTGCACATTTAATATTTTGTTGCATCACCTTTGCGTCCAAAACACCTTCCATATGTTTCAGCATGCTGTTGACTAGGTGTTCACATTCATCTGCTGTTACGGAATTACAGATAGCTAAGATGGAAGCTTTTAGTCCTTCAACTGTCTGAGGGCATGTTTTTCACAGACGTTTCTTCATAATGTTCCATACATTCTCAATTGGTGAAAGATCTGGGCTGTTGGATGGCCAACAAACAACTTCTATGTTCTTTTCTGCAAGCTACTGTTTTGTTTTTCTGCTTCTATGACATGTGGCCCCATTCTGCTGGAAAATGCATGTTCTATTTAGATATAGCTTTGCTATGGACAGAAGTAAATACTGTTGTAGAATGTTAATGTATTGCTCTGAAGCAAGTGTTCCATCAACAAATGTCAACTGACCCATACCACTGGCGCTCATACATCCCCAAACCATCAAGTTGGCAGAAACGTCACTGAATGGTATAACAAAGATGGCTCATTAGATTCACTGGCAGATCAAAGGACACATTTGCTTTTGTCTGTTGCTGATAATTCAAAGTTTGATTTATCAGACCACAGAATTTCATGCCACTTTTGTTGAGGCCAGGAAAGATGTTCTTTGGCTCACTGTACCCATTTCTTCTTTTGATGTGCTGTTAGCAAAGGTTTTTCATGTGCTGCATAGGACTGGAAATGCGTTTCCAGTTCTATGCAGTCTCCTGCATGTTGTCGAAACAGATACATTTTTTTCAGTTGCATCATTCCATATTATAGTTACATTCTATATCTGTGGCACAACAATTGTTTTTTTTTGATTCTTTTAAAACTCCTATCATCAACTTTTGAAGTTTTTTGCTGATGTCCAGCAGCTTTGTTAGGTATAACATGGCCGTGGTTAGTGTAATAAACAAAAATCTGGTGCACTGTTGTCTTGCTTAGCATTACTCTTTTCTAATAGCTCTCTCAGACATGCCACGACTTTGTTTAGCAATGATAGCATTTCTTAAATATTCTGAAACAGCTTTTCCACTGGTCATTGTAGACAAAATGCAAAGGCTTGTAAATAAAACTAAAAAAGCACCTTATGTCATTTACAGGATTACTGCAGGCTAAAGTGAGGCTAAAATAATCATTTATTTCAGAAATACTGAAATTGTAACATTATTTAAATGCAAATTATCAGCTGATCTATGTTCATTGACATCGGTGGCACAGCAGTCTATGTTTTTTGATGCCTGTGACTCAAGTTTGACTGGCTCAATTTTGTTAACCTTGCAAGATATCAAGTTGATATTTAGCAAAAATAAAGGTTAATTAGTGTATATTTGTTCTAAATTATGTAAAGCATTCATGCAATGAATCAAAGCTACTTTTTTTTTTAAACCTATTTATTGGATGACACATTAACTGCGGCCTGGTCTAAGTTCAGTGGTGACTACTGTATAATTATTAAATACAAGATGGCACCTAACACCTCTCTCTAGGGTCAAATTGTTGGGTAATTTATTATTATTATAGCTGTTATATAGGCCAATAGCATACAGCAGTGGTTGGCTTTATTGTTTTTCCAGTTTTAATACTAGATTATGAAACTAAAATTAAAACTATATACATGTTTTCATTATATCATTTTTATCTAATTTTATAATCCAAATGAACTTATATAAGTATAAAATTGTGATTATGGTAAATATTATTTATTTGCTTATTATTATAAAATATTTTTTTTAGAATGTTAAATGAACAGATAGACAAGCTTCGTGATGAAATATCTGAACTGAGAGTACAAAATGCAAAGCTATCTTCACAGGTACAGTGATGTTTATACAATAAATGAAAAATAATTTTATGAATTTTTTTTTATTTTGACATAAACAGGTATGTTTACATGTTGTACTTACTGGCAATATATGAAAACCCAAATAAAATTTTTTTTCTTTTTTTTGTTTAGAGAAATACAAACAAATATGCTTTTTAAGAGTACTTTTGCTCAATATAAGTGCGATTCTTCAGTTACAATTTTGAACAACAAGAACAGAAATGTTTGGAGAATATATCTTTGAATTTTAATTTTAAAAACGTTTTATTTGCCAGCAAATAATAGAAGAAAAATGGCACAGATGGGGAGCAATGTATAAAGATTTGATTGGTAGAATGAGTGCAACATTATTTTAAGGCATGAAAGTACTGCTAACACATGAGATAAAGATTAAACATTGGTTGATATATAGGATTGGATTTTCATATATTTATGGTTTTGAGTTAAAAGAGTTTTGTTGAAGTGCTTCAAGTCTTTTAGATTTTTTACATTATCCCGTACTCTTTCTCTCATCTTTTTGCAGTCATTACTCGGGAAAAAAGCTGCTGGCTTTACTGTGGATCTTTTTCTTTACAAATACTTTACTGTATGGAGAATTTTTTATTTTGAAGCCTGAGCTAAGGTGTCAGTATAGTGGAAAACTTTGCTGTCATTTATTATAGAAATCTCACACCTCAACTAGCTCTAGTTTGTTCCATGTGAGGTTCTTAGAGATGGCAAATTTATCACTGGATAAATCATGAAATACCTTGTTAGGTGGAATAGAGAATATGTTGTAACCCCTAGGTATCAGAAAGTGAGGTGAGATGTGAAAGTAGGAAGTGTGTGTGTTGTATTTGATTGTATACTTCATAGAATACTGTGTGATAACTGCTGGGTTTAAAAACAGCATTTAATGTTTTCCAATTCTACTTGTAAAAGTAGGTTATTGGAAAAGAAATGAAAAAACTCTTATGAGGGATAGTATGGTCATCAATATATGGGGTTTACACTAGAAAGATAATGCTGTCAGTAACATAAGGGTTGCTGTGGATTTGTGGTAAAAGCTAAATATCACTCCTGGTGGTTTTCTTGTTATGCAAAGACCCAGGAAACTTAGGCTACCATTATCCTCTTTTCCTAGAATGAAATTAATATAAAATTGACAGGAACTCAACACATTTAAGAAGTCACTGAATTTGGAATTTCTCTAATGCCGTAATATCAGAGTGTCATCCATATAACTAAAATATGCTAGTGGATATCTTATTGCAAGTGGTACATTGACAACATAGGACTCAATAGCTGTAAATACTATTTCAGTTATTATTACTGACAGAGGCAATCCCATTGGTAATCTTAATTTCTGAAGATAGAATTTTCCATTGACCTATAAGTAATTTGAGAAACAATGCTTATATTGGACAAGTGTGCTCTTAAGAAGTGTGTTTATATTTCTCTCTACAAGAAGAAAGAAAGTTTGTTTAACGTTATCACAACTTTTGGTTGGTTTATGATTGTTGCAACATGCTGGTTCAAACTTGGTTTATATATTAAGGTTTCTTCCAAATTCAAACATCATATTTTGAAGAAGTCTCCTTGCTTAGTTATGGAACAGTGATAAAGATTTAAAGTCCACATTTTGGTTCCATTCTTATTCTTGGAAATACTATAGAATAAAACATGTGATTTAAATTAATAATAATATATTATTCTGTATTATTTTATTATATAAGGAATACAGATAAAACAATGCTTATATATAATGCAGATGGCTATTAGTTTTAAGCAAACCAGTTAATATATTTATCTCATTTGTTTCTTAATTTTAAATAATAATCTAGTTCCTTAAATATGTTTGTTTGATGTTATGAACAGATCCTCAATTAATCATGTAAATCAAATGCAACAATATGTAAAGACACCGCATTAGAATTTTATGTTTGTTTCAAAAATGTATATTTTATTTTTTTTACATAATCTTTGCTGATTAATGAATACGCTTGCATCCACAACAGAGAAGTGTGAGATCTACAGATCTAGCTTAACGGATAAATGTTTAAACTATAAAGATGCAACCATTTTACCGTCGGCATGGAAATATATAATCAGAAAGAACTCGTAAGAGGATACATCCATCAGGCTCAATAAAACCTGAGTTACTATAAAAAAATGTTTACATATTGTATTATGGGAAATTACCGTATTTTGTATTTCATTTTATTTTATTTCGTTTTTCTTGTTTATTGTATTAATTTTGTTATGCTTGTTTACTTAATCTTATTTCAACATATGTTCTAATATAATTTAAATTTGAACATGTTCGAAAAGTCATTGATTCGAACGTCTTTAACCTGATGATGGCCCATGAAATGGGTTGAAAACGTTTGTTTAGCTGAATAAATGTGCTTTCTCAGTAGTAAGGTGTGTTAACTTTATAAGATTAATGAATAAATATTACATTCTCACATATACAATATTATGACTAGAGATATGATACTATAATAAAGAAAAAAAATTAAATTTATTCAGTTAAATGTTATTCATTTTATTGAAAATATCTCTAGATATGTCATGAATTATCCAGAATAAACAATAATAATAATTCTCAAAAAACTGGTCCTTTTATTTGAGGATTGTTATGAAGTGAGTAAAATTTAAATGTTAAATATACTTGGGTAAAATGCATATTATAGCAAGAAAAATTGATTATCCACATCCATAAACCCTATTTGATAAAAGCAATAAGACATTTAACTGAAAAAATATATCTAAGTGCACTTAGTTACTTTATTCTGTAGAACTCCTCAATTATAGTATACGATGTCTGTCCAAAAAGTATTGGACCTTTGGTTGGCAAAAAATACATTTATTGATTTTGAGGTACAAAACCCTAATCCCCTTCAAAGTAGTCTCCTTGGTAGTGTATACACTTCTCCCAGCGTTCCTGCCATTGCTGGAAACACTGCTGGAACGCATCTTTTGGAATGGCCATCAGCCAGTCCGTCGCATTCAGTACGATGTCTTCTCTCGACTAAAATCGGGTTCCTTTTAGCGGCATTTTCAGCTTGGGAAATAGCCAAAAGTCATATGGAGCCATATGGAGAGAGTACGGAGCGTGACGAACCACAGGAGTGTTGTGTTTGGCGACGAAAGCCCGAATCAGATGCGCAGAATGGGCGGATGCATTATCACGATGGAGCTACCAAGCTTTGATTGACCACTGATCTGGTCGTTTGCATCACACAGCATCGGAAAGACGACGAAGGACCTCCTGGTAGTACTCCTTTGCGATGGTTTGGCCTCGTGGTGTGTACTCACGATACACCACCCCACGAGAGTAAAAAAAACTGTCAACATGACCTTGATATTGCTGCGGTCCTGCCGCGCTTTTTTTGGCCTCGAGGATTGTCCCCGAAAGTCTACTGAATCTCTCGAATGGTTTACGCTCGGGTATCGCCAAGGTTTTTGGCAAAATTTGATGTAATATCGCTGCTCACGTTGTTCAGTCATTTTCCAACTTAATAGAATCCGACGAGAGCTCACTATATGTCCTCACTCATAAGCCGACTGCCAACGACTGACGCTTCCTGCAGGCGGGAAAAAATTCAGGGCTGTGCATGACTGTCCCCTCCACAACTCCACCGAAAGAGGCCTCCTGCGCATCATTGGTTTATGCGGAAAAAAATAAAAGTCTGATACTTTTTGAACAGACCTCGTATATCATTATTAATATTTGTGATATAAGATAGTGAATTTTTAAAAATTATTATACAGTTTTGATTATATTTATCATAATGAAATAACTTTTATAAAATAGCTGGAATATTCTGAAGAAAGATTTAATTTACTTCAATCAAATGCTGACATATTTAAGAGAGAAGCTTCATTATTAAGAGAAAAAAATCAAAAACATACTGCAAATATTACTCAACATCAACACACAATAAATAGTCTACGCCAGGTAGGAATTTCATTTCAATGTGTTTACATTTACAAAATAGGTTTCAATACATCATTTTTAATTTTATTGATATATTTTAGGAAGTCATGGCAACACAAGAGAAATTGGCAAAAGCAGAAGTATTAATAGAAAACTTACAAGCAGAAAGAAATTTATTAAAGAGTGTCGAATCACGTCTTGTACAAGAAAAAGACACTTTATTGCGAGAGAAACAACAACAGTCTCGTTTAACTGCAAATTTACAAGCAGTTCAGGTAATTATATTCTATTTGAATTAAAATTTAAAATTAGTTTTACTGTTAACAATAGAAAAAATGTAAGTGATAAATAAAGAATTTAAATGTTTTTTTTTTTAACAAGTAACTAAATTAAAATAAATATCAGGTTTTGAAATTATTTACTGATATGTTCCATTTTTTAGAATTTCTCTTTCTTAATATTTAATACTGTATAATAAAATGATATAAATCATCACATTGTTATTAATTTACATTTAAATTAAAAATTTTATTGGAAATCACTTTAACCTATTGGATGTTTAAATCCTTCTCCGTTGCCTGTGACCATTTTGAATTTTTGTCAATGTTAAACCTAACAAAAATTGCACTTTTTTGAAAATAATAATTGTGGTTATAATATAATCCGAAATTATTTTTTTATTTATCACAAACAAAATAGATATACAGTAGAGCGTCGATTATCCGAAAGTCAATCATCCGAAAGAATTCCAGTCAGCAAATTTAAATTTTTGCCAGTGCTGTGGCGCTGGAATCTTTGGCTATGTCTTGGGCTACTCAAATATTTTACGTTTTTGATACTAAATTAACTTCTGAAGTATAATTTTTTATTGTTTTTATATTTTTCAATATGTTTATTTTGTTCGTACAAAATAAAAAACTAATTTTTAACGATACAATAGTCTTCGTTAGGCTTAACATCGACGAAAATTCAACGCGAAGCGACAGCAACGGAGAAAAATGTCAAGATGGGATAAATTAATATATTTTTTCGTACATAATCGGTTATCCAAAACATCGATCTTCTGAACAACCCCAGTCCCCAATTGATTCGGATAATCAACGCTCTACTGTATTAATAAATATAATAACCAAACAAATTATATTTTAAAAGTTAGTTTTAATATAAAAATTATAACGACTAGTGACATCTAGTTTCAAAAACATTCTGATGCTGTAACGCAGTGTTCCGCAACCGGTGTGCCGCGGCACACTGATGTGCCATCACATGATGAAAGGTGTGACGTGAACTTTTACATATTTTGTTTATTTAAAATTTTATTTATATATTTTTATCACAGTTGTTGTGTTTCTTATACTTGTATTTCATTCTCTGCCGCAGTACTGATGAAATAAGATGATGTTTGTTTATTATTTATTACAAGCCACGCATTTTTATGTATTCTAAGAAATTATATGTAAAAAAAATTTGCTCACAGGTGTTGATGTCTGTTTAATAACAATAATAATAGGTTAGTAGCATTACTTAATTTTATTAATAGTATCATATCATATGTTTTTGAGGGAAATAACATTTTGGTGTGCCGTGGTGAAGTCATGGGTGTGCCGCAAGTAGAAAAAGGTTGCGGAACACTGCTGTAACGAGATATCTTGGGTCAACCGGTTGAGGTCAGAGGTCACGACCCCGAGATATGTCGGGAATAACACAGGATAGGTTAATAACTTACTTTTTAATTTATTAGATTAGTACAGTAGACCCCCCCTATAACGCTTAGATACGTTCCACGCTAATCGAATTTTACGTTGTAGGAATGATTAAATACATGAGCCAATCGCAGCCCGATAGGTGTGAACTTTACGGACTAAGGCTGTTCGAAAGGTTTTCTTCTATAAAATTAACCGATTCTAGACTAATTCCACTCAACATTTCCAAAATACGTATAATTTTTTGGGANCAGCATATTAAAAAAAAATCTTTTAGTTAAAATTATCACAGATTTGACTCTTACAATTTTATTTTATTGTTTTTAAAATTTGTTGTATATTTTTTTTCTTGGAAGATGCTAAATAATGAGTATAAAATTTTTGTAATTTTGACAAAACATTAAGCAATGTGTTTTTAAAATTATTAGCTTTTGTTCATTTGCTGAATTAGTAACTAAAATAGGAGATAGTTATTTTAACTTTTGGTATGAAAAAATATTTATTTCAATAATTATTTTATGTTCTAATTAAATTACATAACTTTTAACATTTACTATGCAGTTGAATAACAAACAGACATACATATATCAGTGCATATATTGTTATTCAACTGCTATAAATTATATATATATATATATATATATGTCACAGCCTGATTGTTAAAATAGCTGCTTTACAAAACGTCTAGTTGTTTGATTAAATGGCAGTGTTTTATAATAAAGCTAACTAACGTTCAGTCATTTTACAAAGAGGCTAAACCAAATCCTGTTGGATTGAACGACATTTCACATTTTATGATAGTGGCCAAACGATTAGCCACTTTTCAGTGAGGTGTTAGATAAACAGCAAGATTGTCATATTTACTTCTGATTCTTACCATTTGAGCATTAAGCAATGTTGCCAGATTTGACTGCCAAAATGGGTCTTGTTTTAGTTTGTCTTAAAAAAATCATTTGACACATTGCCGACTTTTTGGGCTACAAAAGTTTGACTTGCTACATAAGTTATTTCATCGTTTGTTTTAGTATAGAAGAGCAATACCTTTCTCTATTTGTGTCACCTTTAGGCATAATTTTGTGGTAAAATGGGCAAAGTATTCTTGGATATAAAGAAATTTCTAATTCATTTTAGTAACTATTAAGATTATTACATAAGGAAATTAATTTTTATAGTCTGTGTTGGCAAGATCATTTGTTGCATAATTTATTGCATTCTTTGCCACAAGTGATCAAAAAGTTATAAAAGATGTAAAACATTCAATATGATACTTCACAATGGACATCGCACAGTTCTGATAATTTGATTAGTGAAAATATCTTTTATATCACAATAACCACAGAAAATAATGAAAAATTATCACCTGATCTAACCTGTACAGTGTGTCAAAATGAAACCAGTGGAGCTCATCACTGTAGTTCCTGCTTTAAACCTGTTCGTGCTATTTGTGGATTGTCTTAATGATGGAGGCTTAATGATTGTCTGGCGATGAAGGTTATGGGTCAAAGATTATCTGTTTTATATCCAAAAAAGAGCATAATATACAAATTGAAAGGGAAGTGGTGCATAAAGAAATTAAACGGACTGCAGAGAAGATGGTTGATACTGCTAAGAAACTTCTCCTATTAGATATTGGAAAAATATTTTTCTTGATGTACCAAAAATAGACCATGGTCTTTAGATATCAAAAATATTATGGAAAAAATTGTTGATTTCAGAAACGGAGTTTACAAAGTAGGGACTAAATCTAGAATAATTAAAAATAGGTTTTGTTGTTATGAATTACAAGAGTCATGGAATGATTATAATGATGAAATATTAGAAAGATCAATATCTCTGTGATAAGCCTTGACTAACCAATCAATATTTGGTGGTCAAGGATTTCAAAAATGCTCATGCAAACCTGCAAAAAATCAATGCCACACTGATAGATGAACATGTTTTAAAAAGAAAATTTAGAAAATTCTTTGTGTATCTAAATGTCAGTCTAGTTTATCTTGCATTAATAAATAATACATCTGTTTGATGCATTTAATATTATTTTGTAACTATTGAAGAAATTTAATGGTTTTAAAGTTTCTCATTTTTATAATTTAATTTTGCACTGTTTAGTATGTCAAACTATCTCTTTTTATTTACATTATAATTTTACAAAAGTTATTCTTAATTATAATAGAGTACCTAAACATTAAGAATACTTAATAGCAGTTAAAGATTTTAAATGACCAAAGAACAGTTAAGTTAATTAGTTATTATAAATAATTACATTATTTCCTAAAAGCAGGAAATAATTCAAATACTGTACTCTTTTTATAATTTTCAAGTTTATAAATAAATAATTTTGAATATGCAATATATGTTTTTTTACTTCCTAATATTTTTGTCCCTAATCTTAATTCACATTTCAGTGAAGAGGCTGAGATTTTTTTCACTTTACAATACAGCTAAACTTAGCCAGCCATATTGTAAAACATGACATAATGACAATTTGGCTGAATGTTAGTTACCTTTATTACAAAAACAGCACTATTTAATCACACAGCTAGATGCTTTGTAAAGTGGCTAAATTAACAATCTGGCTACGACATATATGTTATATATATAATTTATTTAGAGCTATTATATATTTTTTATAATAATAATAATAATAATAGTCTTTATTTGGCGTAAAAGGCTTTCGCCTGTTACAAGGGCGTTTTATTTAAACGCGTATTAATTTAACATCTCATATATTCTCTTATTATTTAATAAATTGTTTAACATAGTTATATAAAATATAGATTGTGTTAGTATTAGCTCTGTCAAAAGTCTCAAACATTTTCATCTCACTGTTACAGTTAGCCAGCGGTCCCATCTGGAGCCTTTGTAGTTTATCTTTTTCGTTACAGCATTCACATATAATATGAACTCTAGATAATATTTTGCTGCAATTTGGACATTTAGATTGAATATAGTCTATATATTTATCATTTATAATTATTCCCTGTTTATTTAGCCTAATCTGTATGAAAAACTTTTTGATGTTAAAGGCTAGATTTGTCAATATATAGTTATTATTTACTGGGTAATTTAAAATTGTTGCATACCAGCTTGTATTTTCTCGTTTTTGTATGTCTTCAATGTCTTGAACAATGGATAACTCCATAGCTCTGTATATTATTTCTTTACTGTACTGCTCCATATCATGTGTACGATCCAGAAACAATTTAATAGAGAATCCATATTTATTTACTATCTTTGATAGCTTTATAATCCAACTTCGTCTTAAGTCCGTTTCCTTTGATTTGCTATATAGTGAAAACAGCAATTTTGTTGTTATGTCTTTTGCCTTTATAATTTTTTGTAGAAACATTACATATCTTTTTATTAATATAGTATTTAGTCTGAATCTATTTGTTTCTATTCTTAAGGCACTGCCCGGGATATTAAATTCTAACTGGAATATCTTGCGTATAAATATATTCTGTATTTTTTCGAAATCATTAAATTTATCCATACTCCAAACTGGGGCCGCATAGCCCATTGAATTCATAACAAGTGAATTAAAAAGTCGAAAGTGTGTTCTCAAGTTCTTTAGCTTTGTCCTACAGAATAGTCCAATTAAGTTATTTATTACAATTTTTGCTTTATTTAGTGAATTTTTATAATGTTTCTCAAACGAAAGAGTTGGTGTAAATGTTATTCCTAAAAATTTCATTTCCTTAACTATCTTCACTTCTTCTTTATTGATAAAAAAGGACATGTGCTTTTTGGATATATTACTGCCATTTCTGAATATCATTACTGTTGATTTTTTTGGATTTATTTTAACTCTTAATTTTTCTAAGTACTCACAAATTTGTTGGATCTTTCTACGGAGCGCGCTATTATATATTTAGTAATATAGATTTATTGTCTTTATTATTTTTTTATTTTGAAATTTTGATGTTTAACTTAAATTATAATAGTCATACATTGAATAAATATTTAATTTTATTCATTTTTGGCAATTTTTACAATAAACTTTAAGTTATTTTGAATTTAATAATAGTAAATAGTAATAGTATTTATTAAAGTAACCAGAAATATTTTTTGCAGGTATATTTTATTTCTCTTATTTTCAGTAAGAGAGAAATGAATATACTTGCAATTTATTTCTTATGATAATATAAAATGCAATGCTTTTATAAGAACATAATTTTTTTTCTTGCCTAAATTAATTTAGGCTACTGCCAACACTGCAAAACTAGCAGCTGCCGAAGCACAGTTGTCCAAAATGCCCATTTCTGGCATTGGTAAGTTACATGTTTTGACACAAATTAAATTATTATAATGCCATGCGATTATTATAATTAATATTTACAGAACTCTTTCCTATTAAATAATTTATTGATATGGTTTATTATTATTATTTTTTATTTTTTTCTATATCACAGTTATTATTATGTTAAATAGTATATAATGTATTGCATACACAAAATAATATGTGAAATTTGATGAAGTTTCTCAGTTTGTGTTACAAATAATTTTAGTTTTGTAACACAAAAAAGTTGTCATAACACTTTTCTTTATTATATATGTTGCCGGCCAAACCCGATTTCAGGCCAAACTAGTTTGTCCTAGGCTAAACGGGTTTATCCTACACATGTCAGGATATACTAGTTTAGCCCAGGACAATCTAGTTTGGCCTAAATACTTTAGGCTTAACTAGTTTGACCTAGGTCGGACTGATTTAGAGTTATTATTCAAGTATATTAATGGTTAAAATAAAATAAAAGGTAATCAATTACGTGAACAATATTTATTCAAACATAGTCTACTTAATTATAAAAAACGGTATTGATTAGAAATGACACAAAACTTGTACAGTACAAAACTATAAAATAAAAATAAGCTAATCAGTACTTATCAGTTTGTATTTTTTTTTTTCTTAAGCCATGCACTTTTAAAGGTAATTAACTTTCAAAAATATTTTCAAAAATTCAAACGAAATAATAAAAATAACTTTTAAAGTCAAACTAAAATTAAAAATGAACTTGTTTGTGTTTCTTAGTGTAACATATAAAATATTTAATCTTTTATTTATTTTTACAGAGTGTACTGTTGTGGCAATTTGAATTACACAAAATCATTTTTTTACATTGGCACCTATTTGTAACACAGTTTTTGGTACAGGTGCATCTTGTCCTGTCCCAACTGAATGTTTGATAGCTGCAGTCCTTAGTGAGATTCTAACATCTTGATTAACATCAATTTCTTATAGAAATTTTTGAGTACAAAAGTTGTACTGTAATAAACAAATATTTTATTTTGACCAAATTACATAACATACTTATGCATTTTAGAACAAACAAAACGGTGTTTAACATCATGCTTTTTTTCTTCAAAGAACTTTATCAGGCCTACATTATAAGTAAATATTATACAAAAGCCCTATCTGAAAAAATTCATAAAACTTGAAAACCTCTTCCAAATATAAAAAACAATAATCATCGAAATCAGTCCGGCCTAGGTCAAACTAGTTAAGCCTAAAGTATTTAGGCCAAATTAGATTGTCCTGGGTTAAACTAGTATGTCCTGACACGCGTAGGATAAACCCGTTTGGCCTGAAATCAGGTTTGGCTGGTAACATATATAAAAAAATAGAAATAATGGCAGAGACGAATTTTGATGAGTTTTTTCATCATGAAATTTTTGTTATAAATAGTCTATATTGGGAACAAATGGTTGAAGCCAACGGGCAAGTGAATGAAGCAAGTGAGAAGTTGGGCTGCCCACAGTGGCCAGGGAAAAACAAATAGAAACAGTCATATCAGGAATTGAATTGTCACAAAATATTTGAACAAGTGGATGAAGCTCATGCAGTGAGTGAGCAAAGCAAACCATGTAACCACAAAATTGGAACATTTTTGGACATCAGATTGTGACGTTCAACCAATTTAGGGAAAAAAGAATTTTTTTATTCTGGAATCCACAGGTTGTTTTATGTTTTGATTTTGATGGTGAAAATCTGAAAGAAAAGTTTTTATTTTTTATCTGCTTTGAATAAAACTACAGTGGTGCTTCATATAACATACATAATTCATTCCAGGTGCATGTCCGTTAAGTGAAAAGTCCATTATACGAAATGCATTTTCCCATAGAAATACATGTTAAAACATATAATTCGTTCCGCAGCATAAAATAACCGTATCATAAAAAAATGAAAATGGAGCAGTCACCAATTACGCTGGATAGTCAGATGTTGTGAGAAGGTGGAGGAACTCTTTTTTCACAAATTCATACAGATACAGACTTTTTATACATTGCCGCAGGTCTCTTTTTATTGTTTTTTAATCAGAGTCAGATTTAGGAGAGGCTACCAGAGTTTGCAGGGTCAACTCCTCTTGTTCTATCCTTTGTTTTTTGGCAGCTGGCTTCTTGAAAAACATGTCCAAGGTGGTCTGTTTCTCTTCTTTGACACCTGTCAGAAATGACGGGCGAGGGTGTCATTGTAGAGATCATTGATCCTGTTGGCCTCAGCTCTGTTTGGATAATGAGTGTCGGTAAACTCCTGAACCTTTCGAAAAGGAAGTTTTTATCAACTTTCACTCCTTCTGATGATTTCTTGCTTTGTTTCAATTGAAATCACCTTTCTGTTTTTTTAGAAGCCATGATTTGCACAATACTTGAATAAATGTAAATACCCTGCACTGAGGTGATGTACTGTACGTAATAAACAAGGGAGCAAGCCGAATCCCAACGGGAGCTCTGTACTTCAGATATACTAGTAATATATTCTAATAATACTAATATATTATAAAAATAGCAAATTGTCATTGGCAATGGCAAAAGAATGGAAACATCATTTGCACTTGTTCGCAGAAAGTCCGTTGTTCGCAGCCAGTCTATTGCTCGAGTCACTTAACAGCCAAACAGAAAGTCCATTGTTTGCAGCGTCTGTTATTGGAAGTGTACGTTATATGAGGCACCACTGTATTTTTTTTTTTCCAATTATTTTGAGTGTGCATATGCATTTTGAAAAGAACCTGAACTTAGATTGTGCTATGAATCCTCAGTCAGTGAGGATCAAAGTTTACTAATGCCTTTGCATAAAAATAAAGGAAAGAAATGAAATTACAGTTTGGACAATGACAAAAATCCTTTAACATCAAAACTACCAGCAAAAATGTCCACATAATATTTGAAGGAATATATGGACATAAAACAACATTTATTACAAGAAGAACAGGGATCATCAATGTCAAGAATGGTAAAAACTTGTTTGTGTCATTTGTATCTAAAGTTTTGATCATTTTGGAATAGGATTATACTGGTATATATATGTTATGCTCAAAGAACAAAAATGCTCATTGAGAGAAAAAAAATGTCCACAACGCATTTGACTAACTCAAAAAGATTACAAAGTGAAATTTGCATTGTGGCTTTCATGATATTTGACCACTATGAGTTGTGGTGATTAAGAAAAGCCATAATACGTTCTGCACATTAGCTGATGCAACCACGATATGATGAACAGGTTGAAATTGGTTCAAATGTTTTAGTTAGGATGCCTGATGTTAATAGGGGATGTGCAGATTCCAGAAATGTTTTAGCTGTTGTATGAGCATCCATTAATCCATCAGGTCTCTATCAGTTAGGAAACAAGGAAGGTCTTCTTGATTAGCTTTATGCTCATAATGAATTTACAATTTCTGACAATAACTTTATTAACGTTTAGGACATACCCGCACCTTAATTAACACTTTGCTCAGCATTCATGTTAACATCTGAAAGTAAGCAAGGGTTTATAATATGTAACTGTAAAAGATACTATATTGATAAAAAATGCAAATGTTGCTCAAAGAACAATGCGTTGTGGTCGTTTTTTCACTGAATGAATGTTTTTTGAGCCTAACATATATACCAGTATAATCCTATATATGAAGAGGGTTGGTCTGTATAAATCAGCTAGGGGAGGTGAAGCTCCCTAGTGGAGAATCTAAAATATTAAATATTTTCTGTAAACATATTTTTAGATATATGATGATTGTAATTTGAATAAAAATTTATTTAGACTATTATAATTTTTGTATCTTATTTGCTTATAAATATGACCCAGCACTTTCATGTTAATTTCTTTGAATAGTTACTAGAAATAAATATCTCATTTTCTAATTTGAGCAAGACATTGATATTAATTCTAAAAACATATTATATATTGATATGCATTAGTTTAAAGATAAAGCATAACCAAATTTCTGAATTATTTGTGTTGATGCTCTTTGAGATATTTTGGTAGTATATAGGAAATGAGATATAGATATCAAAATACTTTTAATGCTTGAAAACATTACAAACATGTTGAGTACCTAGACGCACATATCCACAGCTTATCAAACTATAAAAACCTTAACCTTTCAACAGTGGAATAGCGAGGTATGGTGCTACCCCTTAGTAGTGGAGAATAAACGTGCTAAATTTTTAGAGTATTTTTCCACACGTTTTTTTCTCATTACTGTTTTGGAAAAAGATTTTGTAAACAGTTATTTCTAGTAAAGAAAAATCTTTTTTTTATTGTTACATAATTCATTTTTTATGTGAATTTTTTTTCACAGTAGTTTTAGGCTAGTTTTTGGGAATACCCCCTCAAAAGAATTTGATGTACATATTCATCCCTCACCATTGCCACACGATCGCCCTTGACAACTATATTTGTCACTCACTGCTGAGTGGTTAATATTATAAATTTTATAACAGTTTTATGACTTAATAGAAGATAAAGAAATAATGAAAATCTTAATTAGATTAATTAAATACATTTTGTAATGCTTAAATAAATGTTTAATCGTCAAAGAATTAAATTGGGTGTTACATTATTTTTTTAGGTAAAGGAAGAAGTTCTCTGTTGGAAGTGAAAAATTTAAAAGATCAATTGGCAGAATCACAGAATGAAATTAAAAGTAAGTTTGTTTTCTGAAATTAGAGATTTACAGATTAGAGATTTTTACATTTTTGAACTCAGGACCATAAAATGTGAAATGCAACAAAGCTGGGAGTTTTTTTCTTGTATAGATTAATGTTAGTGTTTGTGTGTGGGGAGCACAGTTTTTTTACACACTTAAAAGCTTAATAACTCCTGTGTTTTGTCAAAAAAATTTTTAATAAACCTCTCTGTAAAATTTGAAATTTTACAGGGAGGTTTATGTATTGGGAAAATATTCCTAGAATTTTCAGGAAAATTAGTCAATTGATTCAGAAGATATTAAGAGAGTGGGAGCCATATCTCAAAAAACTTCCAAGTTATGAAATTTTTTTACTTGCACAAATTTTTATTTTACCAAAAAATAAATGAATTCTTTTGAAAAGTTTAAAAAAATTATTTTCATTCATAATATTGATGTTATTCAATGTTTTTTATAACTTTTGATAGAATAAACTAATTGAATTCTAACTTTTTCAATACGTATATATTAATAAAATAGTTTTAAGAAATTGATATTTCTCCAACTCCAACTCTAGATCTGGTGTAAAAATATGAAAAAAAGACTATTTTTTAATAAAATTTTTTGAGATATTTATTTGTATAATTAATCATGATTTTCATTGCATTAGACTGAAAGAACTTAATATGTTGAAGAGCTAGAGGATGGTAGTACAGAAAATCCTTGTTAGTTTGAAATTCAAGGAACAAAATAATTGCGACTTTGAATTATCTGAGGTTTATATATTTCTGTATACTATGCCAAAAGCCACATAACTGATGTAATTTATTAAGCAAATGGAATATGGCTACTATACAGAATGCTATTTTCATTAATTAATAATACTAATGATATAAATAAACTGCAGATAAACAGCATGTATCTGGTGAGAATCTCACAGGTTGCCAGATAAGTTTTATAAAGAGTAAAGGAAAATTTCTCAAAGTGTAGCCCAAATTATTTTTAAAGTGGTCCAAAAAGTAGTCACTCACTCAAATGTAGTAGCCTAGAGCCCTATAATTACAGTGGTACCTCAGGATACAAAATTAATCCGTTCCGAAACTGAGATCATATCATGAAAATGTAAGGTGAATCATTTTTCCCCATATGATTATATGTAAAACCAAATAATTCGTTCTAACACGAAAAACACGCTCAAATTAAAGCTAAGTAGTACATTAAAAAAAATAACTATAGTAAGGAAAACACTGAAAAATACGTTTTCTAGTTGTAAATGTATAAATAACCGTAATAGAATAATAATTGATAAAAAAAATGTAGTTTTATTTGAACTTTAGCTTTGAGGATAGACGACATTGGAGGTGTAAACTGGTGGTGGAAGAGAGGGAGAAAGGAAATGATACTAAAACTTAACTTACGTAACATAATGTAACAATAGCTTAAAAATAACTTAGAAAAGATAAAAAAAATTAGTGTTGTTTTATATATATAGGCCTATATATTTTTAAAATTTTTATTCACTGCTTTTTGCCGTCTTTACTTTACTTCCACCAGCACTTTCAGTGGATAGAGGTCGCTTGGTAAAATACTATTGAAAGAGGTTTGGCTTTGCCTACTTTTTAAAATGTTTCTAAAATGACTTAGGCAAATGACATTACTCCAAGCAGCAATACAGCCAGTGTGAACCTTTTCGGGATGTTTCTTTTCAATAAAATCGGTCACTTTCTGATAATACCTCAAGATTTCCTTTATTGAGCGTGATCCACCATGAAGCAAACACGTGAACTGAGACCGATGAACAGAAGTGAATAAAAAATGGCGCTGCAAACTGATGTAACATCGTATGGTGAGTTTTTGTTCGTATCGTGGAGCAAAAATATGTTCGAATTTCATGTCGTATCCTGAAAATTTCATATGCTGGGGCATTTGTATCCTAAGGTACCACTGTATCTCAATCTGCTACTCATAGCCCAGTCTTGCAATCTCGAAACTAAGCCATATTTTATGAACTAACAGAAAAATGGGGTGGTCCATGGATAAAATGATATCCAAAAATGTATTACTGTAAAAGAAAAATTATGTTGGCCAAATTAGAGTTGTTCTTAGTCTATTGTTCTTTTATAGCATGGAGGAATTTCAATCTAAACAAACAAATTAATGTACACAAATGACAGTTCGGACAGAATTTTCACTTTTAATTTTGAAGTAGCCGTATTTCGAACTAACCAAATCCTTTAATGTGTAAATCTCTATTATCTGCAGCTGGGACTTAAGTACAATTATGAATTAACAGGATTTCAAACTCTCTGAGTTTGAATTAATGAGGATTTCTTATATTTTTAAAATAGTTAAATGACTTCCTTTTTACAAGTAATCATTTGTTTTAGTAATTTTATTTAACCGCTATTTGTCCACTTTTTAAAAAAAATTTTTAATTAAGCATAAAAAGTACTTAAAACTGAAAAAAAAACAAAATGAGTTAATTTTGGTTAAAAAGCTTCATCATTTAGTTTCCTTTGTCTCGCCTTTCTGTGAAATTTAACACTGATGAGTTATTGTTTACACATCTGGATGACCTTGAACACAGCTGGAGTCGGATTTCCCGGGGCATTCTCATAGACTTCACGGGAGGACAAGGGTTTAAAGTAGGGTGACTTCAATCTGGCAGTATATTTTTAAATATTTTTAAAAAATTATAATTTTTATTGCGATTTCCGACCCCCCCTAATTAATTAAACTTCTATATAATAAAATCTATTAATTAAAAAAATTAAAAAACTATCGGAAGTCGTTTTTGACATCAGAAAGCAGCTTTAAATAACTTTACCGAAGGAAAATCGGTGCGCTACAACTTTAGAATGATAAATTAATTTTGATAAAAAACTCCCATTAAAAAAACATTAAGCCTTAATCGAGCCTTATCAAAGGCTCATTAAAATCGCGATAAAATTTTTTCGCGCGGGCAAAAAATTTTGAAAAAATTTGGGGACCTAAAAACATTCCAAAAATTAAAAAAAAATTTTTTTTAAGTGGCCTTAACGACCATTTTTTACGTAACGCTATAAAACTTGCTCGAGTCACACTCGAGCGCGGCTCAGAAGGGGTTAAATATAAAGACTATTATTGAGGATGAAAACAAATAAAGAATGCTGGAAAAGTCCAGCAATGACATTGCCTACTTTTATACACATGAAATTATTAACTACAGTAATCTGAATTATGAGGATATTTGAGTCAGAGTATAAAATCATTGGTTCATCCAATGAAAAGGTGAACTTACACACCAAACTTCTCTTAGATTTGTCTACACCACTTGAACATTCAATTTCAGCTTATCAAATGTGAAACCTTTGATCTAAACTAAACTTTTATTTTCCTAAGTTTACTCCAAATTTGTTATTTCAAATTATTTTAAAATAGATGTTGTAGGTATAAAATTTAAATTTCCCTGGTTATTAGATGAATAGAGTATTAAACTTTAGAGAGAGAACTTTTAAGTCTACCAGTCTGAGCTTCATCATCTTGAGGTTGCTTGATTTACTGAACTAAAAAGAAGTATATTTTTATATTTGATTTATATTCAAATCATGGTGAAAGTTTCAACTTCTGTAAAGTAGTCCATTCTTAAGATAATTTTTTTTTACTGGATTTCTTTTAATGTATCAATGAAGACAGTTTGTTGTCTTATTATTGATCTTTGACATAAATTACAACAGTCAACACAGAAGAAAATTTCCCATTGGAAAGTCAATGTTTGCTTTGTCAAAATTCCTTATGAACCATGTTTCTTAGTTATTTGATTGCCAAAGATACATAGTTACAGACTATTCAAATTTAGGTTATATAGCATAATCATGCTTTCAGTGGAGAATTCTTAAATGTTTAATTTCTGATAAATAATCAGCTGTTGTGTAAGCTTCTTGATAAAAATTCATTATATAATTTGTATCCAGTTTAAAAATCTAAATTACTCTTCATACTTTAGTGCAGTGTTTTACTACGTCTTTCATTTTATCTGTATAATTGAAGTCCTTGGAGACGAATAGTTTTAACCTTCAGAATCGTGTTTCTGAGGTAATTGAGTTTGAATGTTTGAAAAAAATCCTAAAATTGTATGAATGGATGTGAGTTAATATTTTTGCTCTCTGAATATTGCCTGCACATGTGGCCAAAGATTGCCAAAGATACATAGTTACAGACTATTGATTGCCATTATCTTATTGTTTTTGGGATTTTTAATTTTGGATTTTTTTCAAACATTTAAACTTGATTATCTCAGGAACATGATTCTGAGGGTTAGCAATATATATCCCCAAGGGCTTCAACTGTTAACTCCTTAAGGACATAGACATTTTTGATATTAATTTATTTAAATGTAAAAAATACTTAAAAACTGAAAAAAACGAAAGAAATGCGTTAATTTTGAAGAAAAATCTTCAGATTTTATTTTCCTTTGTCTGGCCTTTCTGTGAAATTTAACACCGATGAGTCATTGTTTACACATCTGGATGACCTTGAACACAGCTGGAGTTGGATTTCCCGGGACATTCTCATAGACGTCTGGGAGGACAAGGGTTTAAAGTAGGGTGACTATAAGCGACACAGAAATTTTTAAATATTTTTAAAAAATTCAATATTTTATTGCGATTTCCGACCCCCCCTAATTAATTAATTATATATTTATAAAAATATATTAATTAAAAAAATTAAAAAACCATCGGAGGTCGTTTTTGACATCAGAAACTAACTTTAAATAACTTTACTGAATGAAAATCCGTGCGCTACAACTTAAAAACCATGAAATAATTTTGATAAAAAACTCCCATTAAAAAACAATTAAGCCTTAATCGAGCCTTCACATAGGCTCATTAAAATCGCGATAAAATTTTTTTGCACGGGAAAAAAATTTTGAAAAAATTTCGGGACCTAAAAAACATTCCAAATATTCAAAAAAAAAATTTTTTTCAAAAATGGCCTTAAGGACCTCATTTTATGTAACGTTATGTAACTTGCCCGAGATATCTCGGGTTATGGGCTTAAGGGGTTAAATCTTGCTTGAACAAATTAATATCCTATTTCAGAATTTAGATATTTACTATAATTGATTTTAATTGAGAGTTTAAATGAGTAAAATTTTCCTGCACAAGTTACATAATGAGTAATTTGGTTTAAGCTCTTTTTCTGATTTTCACTCGCATATTGGGTCAAAATAATTATAACAAGCTTGGTTAAGCCAATCTGATAACACACTCCACAAAAGCAAATCAAATATTAATTTTGTTTAAAATAAATTTTATAAATTCTTGGAATCAAGTAGTTGCGCATGCATGTGGACATGCATGTTAAATGGATTGAACAGAGCATGCGCGTGCAAATCTGACAGATCCACATCTGAACGACAAACAAAAGTCTTAAACGTAATCACTTCTCCACTATAGTGGAGCGTGTTAAAAATGAAAATTTTTAACTTCACTTACTATTCTTTGAGAGTTTTTCTAAATTTCTTCTTCGTGTTGAAGTTGTATTAATGTTGAATTATATGAAGAGAAATCTTTTTTTGACATTCTTTGATACTTTCTTATATGGTCTGTCTTATTCCTTTTTTTGCATATTAGAAGACTCAGTTTTATATTGAATGGTGAAGAGGATTTGGATTGACAAAATTATTTAATATGAATAAAACACACCTTTAATAATCCAACAAATAAATATTAGTAAAATAAAAACGTTTTTGACCGTTTTTAACAATCTTCCTCAGTTAACATAAAAAATAGAATACCAAAATAGAACGTAAATGTGAAAATATAAATAATGGAAATGTAGTTATGGTTGATATTCTACTTTTTATGTTAACTGAGGAAAATCGTTAAAAACAGTCAAAAACGTTTTTATTTTACTAATATTTATTTGCTGGATTATTAAAAATGTGCTTTATTCATATTATAGTTATCCAGTACGTACATTATAAATAAGAAATTATTTAATTTTAAACTCAGAACATTTTTCAAATAATAATTATTGTAAACACAATTGGACAAATTATTAACACAAACAAATCACACCAACAACCTCAACAACTTATGGCCCTTCCATTGTTACTTCAAATTTCTGTCTTACACATTATTATACCTAATGAGTAAATATTGACATATTATTTTTATGCAATAATATAAATAAAAGTATTAATTTAAAAAAATTTCATTTGTAATTTGGAAAATATCTGTCTTGTACTTTCTTTTATTAGAAAAGTTTTTACTTTGTTTTTTATTCTGTTAAAGAGAATATAAGAGCATAATGTGAATATTAAGTTAATTCAAGCTTATAATTTTGTTTAATTACTTCAAAATTTGAACTTTAACAATTGTTTTTTAAGTATTTATTAATATGAAATGTTCATCAATAATTAACCAAACTTTGTTTTATTTTTTAAGAACTGCAAGAGAAGATTAATTTGGCTGAGAAAAGCATAAATCAGTATCGCACTTTGGCCTCTGATTTGGAGTTACAGTTAAAAGAACAGACTCGGGTAAATAAAATGCATTGTTTTTATTTTATAATAAATAAAACCATTTTAGATACGAGATATGTTCAAAAAAGAAATGTGATATAAGCATTTTAATTAAAATGCCTCAATGTCCTTTTTCTTACTAAAATATAAATTTTTGTCTATAATTTCGTATCTTCTATTATCAAGACTTATTATACTGGTTTTACTGATAATGTATAATAAGTCCTGATAATAGAAGATACGAAATTATAGACAAAAATTTATATTTTGTGATATAAGCATTATCACGAATTTTTGCTAATAATACTTACTGTAGTACTTTATTAATATTAATAATAATATATTAAGAATATAAAATATAAAAATATGTAATAGAAATATAATATAAAAAATATTTTAATATCAATAAAATGTTAAAATTTATTCATATTAATGAAATACAATAATTAAACATTAATTTAAAACAGTTTTCAAACTGATTTGGCATTTGATATTTAAAAACTAATTTTTACCAGTTTGCAGAAACTGGTTAACCAATTTTGAGAATTTCCAGTTTTTTCTGGCATTAGTTACGAAGACACATGTTGTTACAGATATCTCCAACTGTTTTGTAATCTGTTGAATGAATGGTTGTTCTTCCATTAATAATTAAATTAATTGAGTTTTTTTCTAGTGTTTTGTATTGTTTCTTGCAGTTTGAGATTGTTCACTATGTTGATCATTGGTTTTAGCAGTTTGTTCATTTGAATAGTTTATGCCACTTGTAATAACTTCATTTTAATAGATTCCTCCCAAAAAATTTGTTCTCTCACAATTTAATGTGAAATTTTATGCATTTTCTCTGTTCTTCTACATCTTCTATGACAAATTTTTAAATGTTTTACTCACTCTTTTTTTTCATAAAAATAATGAATCTTTACTAATGAATACAAAAAATGATCATGTGTAAATTACAAAAATTGTCTTTTAATATTTTTGTTTTATATGTCTGGTCGTGAAATTTATTGAATGCATCTGTATTAAAATATTTAAAAAGTAGCAGGTAGGCCCGGCATTGCTCGAGCAAAAGTAACGATAGGGAAGATTAACATTATTATGTTATAGTCAACGTTACCCGTTTTCACAGAATAAAAGAATTGGGTTTCCCTGTTTCCGGACTGATTAGAGAATTTTTAGATGGGTCTAAAAATATGTTCGATTTCCCGCAAAAATGAAAAAACTGCATCTGCGTCTTGCACGTCTCTTTCTCTTAACAATTCCATTGTTACGTAACACTTCAATTATTACTTAACACTTCCATTGTTGATGGAAGTGTTAAGCCTTAATCCTCTTCCCCTCCCCCNAAATGCATGGAAGCTGCAGTTCTGTACTTTTTTATTCATTGTTGATGGAAGTGTTAAGCCTTAATCCTCTTCCACTCCCCCGTGGGGAGGAATTTCGAAAAATCCCTTCTTAGTGTGCGTTCTCGTAACGTACCCTAACTGTGTACCAAATTTCAACTTTCAACTCCTAACCTTTTGGGCTCTGCGCTTATTATTATTATCATTATCAACCCGTCTCGGTTATATATTAGATAGATTGTTTTAATTGATATAGTGTTAATATGATATGATATACATTTTAATTGATAATTTTTAATCAATGATTTTGTAATTTGTTTTGAGTGTGATTAATAATTTCTTTAAAATAAATAAGTTTGACTGGTTGTGAATACAAAAGTTTAAAAAGATACTTTAATTAGTTAAAAATAAAATATGTAAATTTAAATATTCAAATTTATTAACATTTTATTTTAATTTTTTTGAAGTTTTATGGTTATTTTTTTAATTTAATTTTGTTGATTTAGATATTCTTAATACATTCATTTCTTGCTTTACAGATTTTAGTTTTAGCAACATTTGAAAACATAGTTTTCATTATTCAGAATACTTTTCACAATTATAAATAAATTTTTCATACATCAAAGCATTAATTTTGAGAACGTATATTCAACCAGAGTTTATTTTGTCTGCTTTTAACCCTTTCAAAATTATATTTCATTTATTGATAATAATTCAGTAATAATAGTAAAATTTAAACAAAGATAACAAATTTAAAGAGCAAAGATAACTATGTGGTATTGAAAAATAAGTTAAAGTAAAAACAATAGAAAATTGATGCAGTTGAACTCAAACATTAAAAAATATTGTGTGTGTGTGTTATATATATACATACATTTTTATATATAACAAGTATCTTTATTTATGTAGTCTTTTTCTACATATAGTGTGGTGTGGTTATAAGTATCGCTATTTGGAGCTGTTGGTAGCTTGAAGGAATAACTCAAATGAAACCAAAGCTTGTATGCTTACTATTTAAGGAGGGGGGATGAAAAATAGAACAAGAAAAAAAAATTGCCAATTGAGGTCACTGTAAAGTTTTAAATGTAATGTGTAATAAAAGAAGAAAAAATTAACGTGCACAAACTGATGGTATTCCAGTATTTATTGGAAAATGTCACAGTTAATGTGGTTATGCTGTATCATGGCTTTGACTATCCAATTTAGTTTCCTCAATACCGGCATGTCTATTGTGCCAGTATATACCAGTGTTCCAGGCCATGCACAGCATTCTCAACTGTGGAACATAATGCATCATGAGTGATGCTCCGCACACATGATAAACTATCTTTTAAAGCACTTAGCTTTGATATACCTTTATGATATGCATTTGATTACAACAGTGATTGAAGCAACAGGCTTTGTAGCACCCTCTATTGGCAATTTTGTATATATGTAACCCGTTATATATGTAAACATGTAGAAATAGAATATATAAATAGAGGTACTTGTTGTTAATAACATTCATTTATATCTACAATAACTTTATTCATAAGCTTTATGATGATATATGTTGATCAAAATCACTGCACATTTTTTATTTTTGCACTGGTGTCAAACTTTACTTATACTGATAATGGAAATTATTTGTATTCATATTTTCCAACTTACAAAGAAAATGTATTTACTTTCTAAATTTTGTCTCTTAGTCATAAAATATTTTAAAAATATAATAAATAATTTATTTTACAAGTAGTTGTTTTGACCCTGATATGGTCATCATTATTATTTTTTAATCATTACAAAAAACAAATTGAAATAATATTTTGTAGTGATTAAGCATACAATATCATTATATACAATTTTAAATAGATCCCAATTCTTACCTGTATCATTTTGTTTGTAATGATCCTAATTAAGAGCATAGGTATGAGTAATGATGAGAATGGATAAATTGTCCAAGTGTATTAATGCCACATGAAAATTTAATGCAATTCAAATCAAATGGATTTTTGGGCCTGTTGGATTGAGTTTTTTTCCACTCACCCTGTGAATACTAAGAAGAATTTTTGTTTTCACACTCATTATGGGTTTGGCCAGGTCACAATGGATTTGGCCAAGTTTTGAAGAACAGGGTCCAACACATCCGGTACAGACTGCTTGTGGAGATTTTCTTTAATTGCTCAATCGGTTTTGATCCCAGGTCCCCCAAAGTAATTGGTCACCATCTTAAATGCCTCAGACATCTGACGGATTGAGAGGTAAGAGATATTAGAAAATTACAGATGAGTTAAGAAAAGGCATTGTAAATTCTAATGTAGCACTAAATCTTAAAAATGCAAGAGAACTTTTTGCCAAATAATGTTCTTTCTCTTGGGGAAAAAAACAAAGGTATCAAGTTTAATGTAAAATATATTAGCAAAAATATAATGAATTATTAATTAAGTAGGTTAAAGTTATATTATATTATACAAAATCGTATGTAGTTCCTATATACCAGGAGTGGGCAAGCAAAAGTTCAGTGGGAGCCAAAATGTAGGTTTTGCAAAATGCATGGAAGCTGCAGTTCTGTACTTTTTTATTCTGTACTGCAGTTCTGTATTGCAATTTTATTATATAATATAAATATGATAGAAAACAAATATTGAATTTTTTTTAATAAACATATTTTCACAAAATTGTGGAAATAAAATTGTAAAAATAATAATAAAAAGCAGAAATTAACACTTTCAGCAAGAGCCACATGTAACTCAAAAAGAGCCGCATTTGCCCATGTCTGCTATATAATGTTCTAATATTTTACACACACAATGAATATAAAAAGTCAAAATCCATAAAAATTTAGTTATGAATAATAATAATATCACTTGTTATTTCTTACATATTGTAAATAAAAATATAAGAGAAACATAAAATTTTTTACAGTGCATCATCAAATAATCATAAAAAATTTTGTATTTTTTTAATGCTAGAATAATCATTTTTCACTTACTTTACTTTTATTCATAGCTGAATGACAGTTTAAAAGAAGGAATAGAGAAATCTATAAAAGAGAAAGAAGAAGGTATGAAAATAAATTTTATTTTTTTAATAGAAGTTTGCATCTCATTAAATATGCTTTGTATTAAATATACAGTGCATAAAATTTAGTAATATCTATAAGTATGATCTTACATATATTGTAATTTAAAGTTATAGCTTTTTTAGTAAAAGTTAAGTTTATGCTACAATAATTTATAAAATTGCAAGTTTACTAATTAAAAATATGTTTATTCATTAATAATTGGATGTGTTAATACTATGAATATTCATCCACAGTGCAAATGAAAAAGTTAATGAAAATGATTCCTTTAAAGTTTGTAAAATTGCAAAGATGAAAAGTTTGAAAAAATTTAATAAAATAACTTTATTGTCTTAAGTTTTTTGTGAAATTTTTTCAAGTATAAACTTTTCATTTTGGTAGTTTTATAAATGTAATATACTCTGCAACCAAAACGTTCAGAAAACAAAAAAAGCGATGTTACACAAAATTAGGGTTTTATCAAGTACCAGACCTGGACTTAACAGGAAAGCAAAATACAAGGTGGTTATAATTAAAGTTTCCCTACTCAGACCTGTATAGAGCCATTCTCATTGATATATTTTGATGAAACTTGGTATATATGTTATATGGACCATGGGGAAAAGGAAAATGCAAAAAAGTATTTAGTTCAAAGTTTTACTACTGGGTGAAAAATGGCACATGCAGTGGACACTTTGCAAATTAGGAACCTTTTAAAAAGCCAGTAGTCAGTGTCATTTTTTATCATGCCTTTACAGAAGAAAGATTGAGTTTTACTGGTAAAGTTGTTTTATCAGAAGAACAGTAATGGTTCAGCTGCACTGCGAGAATATTGACGCTTGAAAGGCTTGCAAATAGGGCATATGTTGAGGTATGGTTTTAAAACAATGATTACCAAATTTGAAGAGACTGGAGAATTGGCTGTATTGCCAGGAAGAGGTCAGAAAAGGATTTCAAATGAAACTGGAGCAAATTGCTGTTGCTGTGATTGACAGAGCAAATGCTTTCCAGCATTCTTTGGCAAGTGCTCAAGTGGTGTCATGTGATTTGCATCTTCCTTCATCTATGGTTTGAAAAATTATGTGATCCATTTTACAGTAGTATCCATACAAGATCCACATGTTGCAAAAGCTGCACCCCTAGATCCAGAACAATGCACTGAATTTGCTTGTCTGTTTTTGACCAGAATAGTCGTTGACAATGCATGGCTATGGAATATTTTGTTGTCAGACGAGGTGCATTTCACCCTAGATGAAACAGTGAATACTCAGAACTGTCGCATATGGGGTATTATAAAGCCTGATGTTGTGATGAATAGTCTCTGCATTCTGTTTATATCACCATTTGGTGTGGTTTTACTTCTGACTTCATTCTTCGCCCTTTTTCATTTGAGGAAATAACACCTTAAGGTCCTAAAAGGTGTTCCATGATGGGTGTCTGTTACTGCAAATTTCCTCTTTACAAGAATGAGGATGTTTATAGACTCTTCCTAGAGGGCTCTTCCTCAGGCTTTTTTTGATAAATACTAAGCTGGACGTTGAAAATTGAACATTTTCTTTTGATTCCTTTACCTTTCGAATCATCACACGTGGAAACCTTCGAGGCAAATTTAAAATGAAAAAGAGAAAAAAGAGCGATGTTTTGCGTACAGCGCATGCGTGTTGCCATGCTTTCAACGTAAACTTTTAAAAGACATCATCCAGCAGGAACTGCCATGCTGTTGAAAGGGCTATCTCTTCTTTAAAATTGATGCATGTTGTTTTGCGTCCTGCTCTAAAACTCCGGTTACGAGGTTTAAAGTAAGAGTTATTTTTAGTATATTCTGGTGTGTGGAGAAGAATAATGCTTTACCTAACATTTGATATGTGGAGATACTTTATCTTGCATGAAAATTGTCAACTGTGAAGGCATTGCTGCTGTTGCAGTTGGTATTTAACAAGTGTTGAGTATTTCTGGGCTGTCACAAGCCTACCAAGACTAGCTTCTTTAAAGAAAAATGTCCGGGGACAAATGTGGTTGTGAATCCATACCAGACTGTAAACTTATGAGTTCAGTGGAATCTACTGGAGAATATGAGGGTTTCCTTTAGCCGAAATATTATAGTTATGGGTGTTTGCTGTTTCATTGAGGTAAAAATGTGCCTCATTGCTACACAGGATTTTCTATTGTCATGACATATCAACTTCCATTCTGGTAAAAAAGATCAAAGAAAAGGTGAGTCAGGTTTTGGATAAAGCTTTCTCTAGATAGCATTGAATAGGGATATTTTAATTATGATAACTTGATATATTTTCTTTTCATTTATGGAAAATATCTGTATTATTTTAATTAATTTTATGAACTCAGTTAATGGCTTATTCTTGTGTAATAGTTTTTGAATAGTATCAATTGCAAATAAAACAAATTTTATATCATTTTATATACAGTTAATGCCATTTCATGTGTAGTAAAGTCAATTTAATCTTGATGTTTTTTTATTAAATAAATTTTCAGTTCAAGAAAAACTGGAGCAGAAATTAGAGGAATGTGAAAAGCAGTGTAGACAGTTAATTCATGAAAATGTAACCATAACAGAAGAATCTGCAAACAAAGTGAGTTTTTCTGCTTAAAGTTTAAATTTTTATCAAATTTATTTATCACAAAGGATTTGTTAATAATAATTATTAGATTTTATAAAATACATTTTTAAAAGTTTTTTAGCATTTGGTGAAAAATCAAATTGAAATTACATAGTAATACATTATTTCATAATTTTGATAATGTTTCATTGCAGTATATATTAGCTGAAAATATAAGGATGGATCAAATTAAAACGGAACAGTGGTCATAATTCGGTGTATGTGTATGTGAGTGTAATAAAACTGTGTGTAGATGTAGAGCGGGAGGTGAAAGAGGAGAAACCCTATTGAGGAATGAACTCATTTTTGGTAAGCGCATGCAACCACATGGTATGAGCTGGCGGTCGGCTAAGAGTGTCATCCAGCAGGCAATCAGTCTGCATCATGTTTGAGACTAAAGAAGAGCAATGTGGTGTTATTCGTTTTTTAGTGGCAGGGTGTTGGAGCTCGTGAAGTGCAAAGGACAATGAAAACAGTGTTCTCCATACACTGTTTTTATTGTCCTCTGGAGTGCTTTTGCTCCATGACAATGCACTGCCACATATGGCCACTTGCACACTGAGCATGCTTGCGAAGTTTCAGTGGAGTGTGTTGGAACACCCACCATACAGCCCCGACGTTTTACCGTGTGACTTTCAAATCTTTGGTCTGCTAAAAAAAAAGGCATTGCGGGGTCAACGTTTTCAATCGGACAGCGAAGTCATGGACACTGTTCAAAACTGGTTTCAATCTCTGCCAAACTCTTTCTATGAACAAGGTATTCACCGCTTGGTGCAACAGTGGGACAAGTGCTTGTGTAATTTTGGTGATTACATTTGAAAATAAATAATGGCTACTGTTCCATTTTCATTTGATCCACCCTAATATAATAAATTATTATTACTTTTTACATTCAGTTAACTATAAACAATAATAATGAGTTGACAAATTTGTAGGCAGACAGTTTATTTTTAAATTTACTAAAGTTAGGATACAATAAGTAAGATATGTATTTGTAACAAACTAATGAAACTATTTATTGAAAAGCAATAATATTTTATTAATGTACAGCAGTACCTTGACTTACAAGTGTTCTAACTTATGAGTTTTTCGAGATACGAGCCATCTCTCAGTCAATTTTTTGCTTTCAGTTGAGAGCTAAAATTTGTGTTATGTGAGCCAGCTTCAGATATTCCATTGCTAGTTGGCTCAGTGAATGCCACAGTAAACTATAGATTAAGAAAAAGATGGAAAACTGCCATAATTTCATCATTTTTTTTTTTACTCTTTCAGTGTCTGACAGACTAGCTTATAGAAAAACACATGATTAAGTGACAAAGGCATTAGTTCACTTCCATGTTGTGTGTGGTGCCACCTTCTCTCATTTCTGGAATTTTCCATCTTTTCTTTCTTTATTATCTATGCAGCAAATGCTGCAACATCTTCAAAACCAGTTTATTGCAGTACATTGTATTGTGTTTTTATACAATATTTGTTATTTATAAGTACATTTTCCTTTTTTAAAAATATTTAACAAAATAATTATGGTGTTTTGGGGCATCCGGAACAGATTAATGGCATTTCAATTCATCTAGATGAGGAAAATTGATTTGACATATGAGTGACTTGAGTTATGAGTTTTGTCATGGAACGAATTAAACTCATAAAAGTCAAGGCACCACTATATTTAAATTACATGTTTATAAAGTGTGCAAGAAATGGCTTTAAAACGACACAATTCATTAAAATTCATTAAGTTGTCAAATGTCAAAGCACAAAATTTCTAAATGAAATTAACAATCCATGTTTACAGAAAGATTTTCCTAGTGCTGACTTTAAAGAATTAATATTTTATTATTAACATTAGATTGAAAGCTCTATTAATTTTAATTAGATTTTTATCCAAAATTTCCAAAAGTAGGGAAGCCTGGACTAAAACTATTAGTGAGCATATTCTGATTATTATTTATATATTACAAACACCTTTGAAGAGTTTCTATCATTATCAGAAATCAGATTTGCCAAGGACAATACTAGTAGTGTAGAAATATTAAACTGATTGTTAATTTGCATTAAATTAAATTTTCATGTTAAATTCATTATGAGATAAAAATCTTAGTCACAATGCCCAAATATTTAATCTTCTGTATAGATGTTTAGAAAATTATATTTCAAAATTAAATAATCAAATAAATTGCCATTTCACCTGTTTACCATCATTTTCTAAAATTTTTCCTCTCATTGTAATAAACAGTGATGGTGAAAATGGTCTCTTTTATCTTATTTCTTATCTAACTCCAAACCACATGTTATATTTATGCTGCTTTCACATTACATGTACAATATTTTAGTTGTAGGTATTTCCATCTGATGTATATTTAGCCTTGAAAGATTTCTCCAGATAACTTCTTTTCTCATCTAGTCAGGTGTCTTTTGGGTTATTTTCATATTCTGGGTTTCTTACGTTAGGATTTATTATTGAGAAATTTAAATCATTTTTATTGATTTTTCTCTTGAATCCAAATTGTTTATTCTTCAGTTTTTCTTTTACCTAATTTCTTATTTCAACTTTTAAGTCTCTTGAAAATTTTCATTTAGTGGCATAAAAGAATATTTCTTCATAATTGCTAATCTCCTTTTTGAATGCATTTTAAAAATTATCACTTTTTATTTTATTCCTTTGAGTTTTATTTACTTTTTCAAATTGAGCTAGTTTCAACAATTGTGATTCTTGTTTCATCTACCACTCTTAGCAAGTAAATAAGTAGATCATCTATTCTATGCAGTCTGCCATTTCTCATTGTCCTGCAGTTTTCAAATTATAGATCTATAGATTTAAACTGTCATTCATCCATTCATTCTTCCTTAATCTTAAAAGTAGAATTAAAAGAAAAGAAAGACCAGATATTGGAAGCTTAAGACCAGAGGTCCGATTAACTTTATATGAACTTCCAGTCTGAATTGGAAGGCACACGATTTTTTAAAAGCTAAAATATGATTAAAAGTTGCAGCCTGGCATTGCAACATGTTACAATAATGTACAGTACAACCAGTAAGTATTTACTGTTTCTTTCACATCAGTTTTTAGACAAATGAAATGTATCTCATCTGATATGTATTGATGTATCATTTCTTCCTTATCTTTGTGTCTTCATTTATTAGTTTCTAAAGTAATTCTTTCACAAATAAATATTTATTTTTATTTTATTGATTGCAAATTGTTCATCAGAAATCAAAAAACGTAGTTTATCATTATCTTTTCTTTTATTTTTTATTAATCCTTGAGCTCTTTATTATTATTAACCATTACTTCTATATATATCCTCTTCAATATTCTCTGTGAATTATTTCTGACATTTTTATTCTAATTATTTAATCTGTTTTGTTACATTCAGATATTGTATGAAAATATATAACATCTGAATGCCTTATTCTTTCTTAATAGCTTCTGTCTGTGGTTTGTTCTTTCCACCATCATGTTTTATCAATTTGTTTTCCTTCTAGCTTTCTCATATAATTTCTCTACTATCTCTCTCTACCAGTGATGTTTTAAATCTGTTCTAGTCTTCCTCACACTTGGTCCTCTTAAAAATTTTTTGATCTGTTTTCTTTAACATCCAGGTTATTTTCCCCTCTCATCTTTTCTCACCTAATCTATAATTATTCTATGATTATTGCTCGCAGTCAACAATGGAGTTACTTTTGCATCTCTTGGATTTTAGCATGGCACACTGTAGGATTATTTCTCTTTAAATTAATTATTATTTTTTTACATAAAAAAGTGCATTTACTGTTTACAGAATTGAACTGAATCAACTTGAAAAGATTTTCCAATTTAAACATTTGAGAAGAAGTGTTTTTAAAGCAATTTATAAAATTTATTTTTGTATGTTTTAAATACATAATTTTTAAATTTATTTTTATGGAGTTTAGTAATTCTATTGTAATTTCATGATGCCAGTTCAGTTTTTTTCTCCAATTTCACACTGTGGTTTTTTCTGCTACAATAAAATGATAAGTAGTGTTAAGTAATGATTTGTTAACCCAAATATATTTGCTGTTTAGTAAGTTTTTATTTGTATATATTTTGATTGACAGTGATTTTTTTTATTTAACAGTTGTTTATATTTATTTTGTATTATATTATATTATTATTATTATGTATTATACAGTAGACCCCCCATAACACGGTAGATATGTTCCATGTTTTATGAAATTCCTGTTGTACGAGTCCTTAAATACATGAGCCAATCACAGCCCAGCACATGTGCAGTTTATGGACTACGGCTGTTTGAAAGGTTTTCTTCTGTAAAATTAATCGATTCTAGACTAATTTGACTCAACATTTCCAAAACATGTATAAGTTTTTGGTAATAATCCATATAAACTATGCCATAAACAAAAAATTGTAGGATTACTTACCAAGTGTGCACTGTTCGACGACGCCATTGCTTAAGCTTGTTTTCGTCGTGAGGCAGTGCATCAAACAGGGGCGCGCATGTTTCCTGATAAATTATTTTTCTGTGAAAAATTTGCTGAACTTTGGAGACATCATTAATATAAATATAATTTTTATGACCGTTAAATAATAAATGATTTTTAGTAGGTCCGCTGCTCGTTTAAACTCAACGGTTTGTGCAATATCCGCTATAGGTCTAGATTTGACCAATCCTGTTGCGACACAAGTTGGCGATGACGTCGTACCGTATCATATGAGTCTCTTTTAGCGTGTTTATACAAATATGATCGCAATTTTTTTACCGTTATATATGAATCCATATTATATCAACCCATTTTATAGGGGGTCTACTATATTTATGTTTATATTTTTTATTAATAAATTAATATTGTTTTATTTATTTTTTGGATGTTTGTAGTTATGCATACATTTATATATGTACATGCATATTTATTTACTTATTTTGTATAAAAAAAAAACGTAGTAACAGAAATTAAGAAATTGGGATATATTTTATTTCAGGTGAATAATCTAAATAAAGAAATAGCAATACTTCAAAGAGATTTACAAATAAGTAAACAACAAGCAAATGAGGCAATTAAAAATGAAAAACAAACCAGAGAGGATTGCCAAAAGCAAACAAAATTAATGCAAGAGGTAATGATATTCATTAATCATAAAATAATTTTATAATAATAAAAATATTTTTTATTTATTTTAATTTCATGAATGATGCAGATTATAACCATATTTATTTATATAGTCAATTTTTTTTTATACAGAAAACCTGTATAAACCATACCAAATATTTTTTTGGTTTAAACCGTTTTTTTCAACATATAATATCATTCCATTTCAAAGAATTTTTTTTTGCTTAAACAGGTTTCCATTTTATTCAGGTTCTGTTTTGGACAGGTTTTATTGTATATTGTAATTAATTATGTAAGAGAAACTTTGCTTTTGATCTAAGGCTTTAATATGTAATTGTAATTAAAAAATAGGATTTGTTCAGTTTAAAGTGAGATTTCATATTTTTATACTTTGTAACTTTTTATTTTATATAATTTGTTGTGATATAATTAATTTTAAGTAAATTTTCTAAACTAAGGATTAAAAAATTATCACACAACAGATTTTAAAATGTTTTTACAAATGTCAAAATTATTCTAAAAGCTTAAGTGAAGAAAAATATAACATTCCATTACTTCTTTAGTTTTATTATTTTACTACTTACATATAATATAAATTATTTTATTTAAAACTAGTTTATTTATAATTTAATTATGATTATATTAATTATTAAACTGTACTATCTGCCTATGGATGCCACTGCCTGATATAAAATTGAAAAATTGAATGCTTATGGCTGCAGATGGGGAAGATTGACTTAATGCATACAATGCAGCTTGTAATAATGTGTGCATTTTAAAATATGGCTGTTTTGTAATCAACGAATTCTATGCAATGAGATTAAGCAAAGAGAGTAATGAATTTTTCTACATAGGATCCACTTACAGATCAGTGAATCTCACAGTCAAAGAGCATTGAGTCCATTACCCAAAACACCATGAACACCATGATTTTAACACTTCAGAGAAAAAAGTAGAAGTATGTCTGAAATACCCATGGTACTCAGATGTTGGTGTGTATGGCATTAAGAATATAATACTGCCCCATATATGACAGTTCTAACGATTCACTGCTCCATCTAACGAAAAGTGCAGCTTGTCTAACCACAGAATTTTCCAAAGTCACACATCATGAAAAGCCATTCTCACCAAAATCCAGAAAGAAAAATCATTGTGGTTTTGCAGGTCTTCAGGTTGCAGCTTTTGTGCAATGTGGACTTTATACGGATACCATTTTAAAATGGACCACAGACTTTTCATACTGTCAGCCAAGAGATGGACAACTCATATGACACCACTTGAACACTTGAAGAATATTGTGGACTGGAGGCTCCATCAACCACAGCAATGGCAACTTCAACAAAGTTTCTTAGCAATTGGTTTCCACCCTGTTCCTGGTAGTACACCCAAGTCTCCAGTTTCTTCAAATTTCATAATCGTGTTTTTCAAACCATTCTTTCAGATGGGCCCATTTTGCAATCCTTTTAAACATTGATATTCTCTAAGCGCAGCAAAGTTTGGTCTTTCTTCTGTAAGGGCATGATTAATGATAACATAAAGGTACACAGAATGATTTTCAGCTTTGAATGCAGTCTTTTTTAGTAGGTCTGTTTACTTTGCATAAGAACTTTGTGAAAAGCTTCATCTGATGGTGAATTTTTTATTGCAGCAATCTCTTCCCCATGGTATATATAATGTATATGTTACTGCTAAAGCTCAAAAGTCGTTAATGTGTACATTACCTAGCTAATCTGCAGATTAACTAGGGTGATTCGTTAAAGTTGTGAAAATTGTTCCATTTCTCAAATTACCTAGATAATGTGCAGAGTATCTAGGTAATCCGCACATTACCTACTAGGCACTCGGTAAAGTGAAAATAAGATCTTTGCCACAAATAAATGTACCACAAATAGGTGTGCTTGTCACAAAAACCAATTGCTATGAAATTCAAAGTGTCACCAATCTTTAGACTGCACTAATAAGTAAGCACAATTGGTTAATGTTACCTATGGTGAGTAAAATGGCAGCTCGTCTCTGATTCTAGCAAAGAGAAGAAAGGAAACAGTGGGACGTACGTTCAAACCTAACTAACCTATTCTAATAATTTGGTTGGTAATAATTATGGTAATTTATTAGAATAGGTTAGGTTAGGTTAGAACGTGCGTCCCCACTTTCCTTTTTTCTGTTTGCTGGAATCAGAGACGAGCCGCCATTTTACTCACCACAGGTAACATTAACTGCACAATTATATCATGTGATCACCAGAAAAAGTATGATAATTTTATTATTTTTCATCTCCGGTCCAAAAGTAGGGTATCGTTGAAGTCGTTTCGGTCCCCTCGGTTCAGATAGATACTCAAAGTCCCGAAATTCCATATAATAATTTCCCTAATTGTATTAATATTTTAAATCATTTGATTTTTTGTATGCTTTTTAATTGGTTGATGATTGATTCTATCAACTAATTTGTTGATTGTTTGATTGTATTAACTTGATTCTTTAGATATCTAAAATTAAATAAAGAACATTATGTTAATTTAAGTGTACAGAAACGTTGCTGTTGTTCCAGCAAAGATCTTATTTTCACTTTACCGAGTGCCTAGTAGGTAATTTGCAGATTACCTAGATAATCTGCACATTACCTAGATAATCTGCACATTACCTAGGTAATTTGAGAAATAGAACAATTTTAGCAACTTTAACGGATCGCCCTAGTTAATCTGCAGATTAGCTAGGTAATGTACACATTAACGACTTTCGAGCTTTAGCAGTAACATATATACCAAGTTTCATCAAAATCCAATAAACATAACGGGCTCTGGTCCCTTCTCAGCTCAGTCACTGTTGCATCACATACATTCATATGCAGTGAATGCTTTTTTGGCTTTGATGTATGTCATATATTCGTTGTGTAAAATCCTCTAAAAATATTTATTTTAACATCTCTGATGTGTTTACTGTCATTAAATATTTATTTCACTATTGCTCCAATAGATGGCATTATGTTACAAAAATTATTTTTATTATTTTTGATGAGGAAATATAGTTTATTTTTGGCATCTATGTAAATTGTTTCTGGTGATTTTTTTACCAAAAAAAATAATTGAAATTTTATTTTAAAATATTATTAATAACCATTAAATAAATAATAATTAATTGAAAATAATAAAATAAATAATCAAAATTTTTAATAAAATAATATAAATTATGAATAAATAAAATTATTTTATTTTAAGAAAATGAAACATGTGTAAGTGCTAATTTTTTTGGAAATTACTTCATAAATATTAATTATATATCAAATATTAACAGACAAAAATTGACATAGTAACCCTGAAAAAAAAAAATTTGACTTAGAAGGTGATAGAGGTGTCTGAATAGGTCAGTTTAATTATAACCACCCTGTAGTTAAACACTTGCAGGACAGAAGAATGAAGGAGGCAGTTTGATAGGTGTGAAAAATTAATACTTCAGCTGATCTGGAAAGCGATGTTAATATTGTGCATGTGTGAGATTTGATTTTAACAAGTTAGAATGAAAATGTACAGTTTGAAATAATGTTTGATCCATCAAAAATTATATAAAATGTCAACAATGTATTATTCTCTTTGTTGGACAAGAACAAGATGATAATAGATCGTTGAGAGTACTTGCATATATATTTTATGTTTATAAACTCTCTTATTGCCAAAAGACAGTTTATTTAATGTGTTAATTCTGTAATTTGATTTGAAGTGTATGTATAAACTTTGTGAATACAGATACAAAGTAACATGCTCAATCTATTGAAATTTTGATACATAACCAATTTACAAGTCATTTTAAGTCATAGATTATGTATGTCAGATATATAGTCAGTTGAAAAATTGTGTGTTATAAATCTGTTGAAATTTAATTAATGTTTTTATTTACAGATGAAATAACTATTACATCTGTAAATAAAATTCATTTTAATACATTATGATCAAACTTTGATTCCTATTTCATATGGATACTTCCTAATCTCTTTAAAATCTAAAACTGTATTAAAATATTGTAAAATAAAACTAAAAGTTTATATTAAAAATGTATCTGTGAATAAGAGTCAGTCACCAAATAGTTGATTATCAGATCAATTGATAGAAAAATTTTATTTTTGCATATTGACTCCTAAACATTAACTATATCAACATTTTTTGTTTACAATAAATATAAAATTAATTAAATTAATTTTATTATATAATTTCTGTCAAAATTTTATTTAGCAGCTAGCAACATTTGCTGCATTTAAACTGATTAGCTTTAAGACATAAAAGATAAGATTACATATTCTGATACATTAAAATGGTTTTGGTGCAAAATTCTTTAAGATTGACCATATCATCAAAAATAAAGTCAGTTGTATATGTTGTAAAACTATTTTTTTTACACAATAGGCACAAGAAAAATATGAAAGAGAACTATTCTTACATTCTCAAGATATTACTTTACTCAGAAGTGAGAAAGAGGAGGTAATTTTTCAAATTGTATTTTTTACTTTTAATGAAAAAATGTTTATAATAATTTACCTTTAAAATAATTTTGTTCTAATCTTATCATTAAAAAATATTTTAGTTGCATTAAATATTTTTTCTTTTAGCTTGTTTTATTTAAATCTCAAGTCGAAAATGCCGAAGCAAAATCACAGCAATTAGAACAGACCTTCACCGAAAATAAAGTAGCATGGGAAAAGAGAGAAAAGATGTTTCAAAATGAAATAGAAGCAATTAAAAAGAAATGTGAAGATCTTAACAACAATAATACTACATTATTAAATCAGCTAGAGCTGGTATTTATGACAGTCATTTAAAATTTATTAGAATATAGTATTATAATGTTTGGTCTTTGTATAAAATTTAAAATTATTGTGATTAAATTTTATCTACATCAGTGAATTAGGACTTCAAATAATTTAAATTCTGAAGTACTCTTTGCTAATATTTTACTAGAAAATGAATGTACAGTCGACCCCCCCCGTAACACGGTAGATACATTCTGTTCTTTCTGAAATTCATTTTTTACGAGTCCTTAAATACACGAGCCAATCACAGCCCAGCACGTATGCAGTTTACGGACTACGGCTGTTTGAAAGGTTTTCTTCCATAAAATTAATCGATTCTAGACTAATTTGACTCAACATTTNATCTTTAACATATGCCCGTAAAGAGATAGAAAACATAAAAACTGAAATGGTGAAAGAGAAATCTCAAACTGAGCAATTAAAACAGCAATTGGAAAATTCTAATAAAGAATGTGCTGACAGACAAAAGACTATATTACAGGTCCTCATATATATATATATATATATATATGTATCTAGATCAGGGATCGATAACCTATGGCACATGTACCAAATGTGGCATGTGGAACGATTTTCAGTAACACACTGATTGAATAGAAATTAGTAAAAATTAAATTTTACTTGTTAATTTTTGAAGTCCATTATAATTGGACCAATTTCAATACTATATATAACAAAATTGGTAAAATCATGTTGGCACCCAGAATACCACTAACTTAGGTTTAGCACAAAACCACTGAAAAGTTGTTGACCCCTGATACAGATTATTAATAAACTGGTATTTGCCAGTAATCAATAACATCCAATGCTGTAAAATGTATAAATTATTGAAAAATTCAATATATGGTAGAATATAATTAAAAATTATGGCTATGCTTATAAAAATTTCCAAAAGTTTTGCAAGACTTTGCAATTATAGTGAACACATTGTACCATGCCAATAATAATATGATCTTAATAAAAATCAAAGCAGTTGTTAAAATATATGTAGAACTTTCAATTTCAGTATGCAAATACATTCTAATTATACATGGAAATTTTTACCAGCAATGAATGGTCAGATCATTAAAATTAAAATTTTCCATAACATTCTCTATATAAAGGTCATCAGACACTTAATATGACATTCTGACTGTATTTATCTGTATAAGCTGGGTAGTTTGCCAGTGATAATGTCTTGAAGACATACTCAAGTTCCCTATTACTACTTAAGTTACTTTGAGAGAGATTGTGTCATTGAAATGTGAGAGGTTAGCTTGCTCCAAAGAATAGCAGTACAAGAGGGCAATGACAAATTCTGAAAAGAATCTAGTAGGCCCAGGAAAACTGCTACAGAGAATAGTTGGATAATGAGACAAGTCCAGAATAATCAGTTTTGCTTTCAACCATCTTGCTCTATTTACAACATTTTGTATAAACCATCTCCACAAGATGCTTTGTGGAGACAGGACTCTGCCTTCATTACTACCCCTTATGATATCTTCCATTGACTAGACTTAAGGAATTAAAGGTAACGTTGTCTGCAGTGGAACCATGGCTGGCAGATCCATGTCTATCAGTCACAGTATCACTGTAGACAACTTTGGACAGGAGAATTGAATAATGTTGTGTTTAGTGAGGAATCTCATTTCAATCTTACCACAGACAACCATTATATTCTTTTTTGGACAACCATTATATTCAAACTACAGTCTGTTATAGAGAAACAGAATTCCTGGTATTATGGTGTAGAGAGCAATTTTCTATGACATATGATCTCCCCTTGTAGTGATCAGAGAAACCTTAATGGCACGGGCATACATTTGAGAGATTTTGCAACCTGTTGTGTTGCCTTTTGTTGAATGCTTGAGATGGGCAACTTTCCAGCAGCACAATGTTCAGCACACTACTAGTGCTTCTCAAGAGTGCTTTCATCATGTTCAAACTTTTCCTTGGCCTAAATTCTCCCCAGCTTTTCCTCCAATTGAACATGTCTGAGATATGTTTGGGTATCATTTGAAGCTATATTGGAATCTCCAACATTTTGAACAGCAGTTATAACACACTTTGGGAAGATCTGTCACAGAACAATTTCCAAATCTTGTTTGTCTTCATGCCAAGTTGTATTTCTGCATATATTTAGATTTATTAAATACCATTCTGTATGATCCATTTATATAGCTATTGGGTTGTTCGGAAAGTTTGTAGTGATTTTTGATAGCTGACAGTTGAGACATTGATTAATGTGAAAATGATAAGAATTGTACAAACCAATGAATATTATGATAAATGACCTTGAGACATGTCTGTTACAAAAAAAACCGTTAAGATTATTCAAATATCGTTTAATTTGTCTCATTGCAAATATGGATGCAAACAACGTGCATTATTGACACTTGTTTTTTTTATCGTAAAGGAAAAAATGCTGTACAAACAGCTAAAAAGATATGTGATGTTTATGGTGAGAGTGCTGTAGGAGAATCAACTGTTCGAAAGTGGTTTGCAAAATTTAAAGCAGGTAATTTCAGCCTTGAAGATGCTCCCTGCTCAGGAAGACCTCCTGTTATTGAAGAGGACCAGATCAAAGCATTATTGGATGAAAACTCTCATTATACAACTCAAGAAATTGTAGACAGTGAAGTCATAAAACAGTACCATATTTCAACATTTAAAGAAGCTCGGATATGTGAATTGTTACGACATTTGGATACCTCACGACTTAACAGAAAATAACTTACTACATCACATCTCCATTTGTGATTCTCTTGAAAGACGAAATGAAAATGACCCTTTTCTAAAGCATTTAGTGACAGATGATGAAAAGTGGATCATTTATAACAACATCAGCTGAAAACAATCATGGGGTAAGAAAAAGGAACCACCATTAAAAATTCCAGAGGCCAGTCTTCATCCAAAGAAGTTCATGCTCACAGTCTGGTAGGATTGGAAAGGAATCCTGTCCTATGAGCTGCTTCCACAGAATCAAACAATTGATTCTGATAAGTATTGTTCCTAATTGGATAAACTGAACATGGCAATTAAAGAAAAACATCCATAACTGGCCAATAGAAAAGGCATTGTGTTTCACTAAGATAATGCCAGACCGCACACATCTTTATGAACACGCCAAAAATTATTGGAACTGGGCTGGGATGTGTTACCTCACCCCCATACTCACTCAATCTTGCCCCATCGGACTACCATTTGTTCCATTCTCTGCAAAATTCCCTTTATGATAAAAACTTTGACACTTTGGAAGCTTGCAAAAACCATGTGGATCAGTTTTTCGCGGGAAAACTGGAAAGTTCTACGAAGAGGGTATCCTGAAGCTCCCCATAGATGTCAACAGTTATCATATGTAATGGAATAAAAGTATATTTTTAGTTTTAAAACAGTTTCTTTTATTTCTCTTAAAAATTGCTATGAACTTTCCAAACAAACCAATATTTGTTATATCTGTTTGCTTTAAAATTGTTATCAGTTCTTTATTTCATTTAAATTAGGCAAGTAAACTTTCAAAATGATAGATTTGTTTTAATATGCTTCATTTTTTTGTCATTGCATGTATATATATACTGTATAATAAAAATAATTAAGAGGTAATCAGTTAAATTTTATTAAATATGACAGTTGGGTCGTCAGATGTCGGTAATGCAATCTAAAGATTGGAATATTTCATCATCATTAGAAGAAGAAAATAAAAGTACTCAGCAGTTGCTAGAAGTTATCAGGTATTAAACTTGAATAAATTTTTATTTATTAATTAATTTAAAAAATTTCAGATTTATCCATAAATGTATTAATTTATTAGTAATGACATTGATAATCATGTTTATTATTCCTATTTTATCATATTGATCATGGATATTAGATGCTGGACATTTTTATAAATTCATTTGTTGGTGATTAAATTAGCTAAGATAGCTTATATTAGAGTAGATAAAAAAAAAATATATAAAGTGTTATTTTTCTATTCTCAATATATAAGTATTACAAAGGTTTTCTGGTTATTTTTATTTACTGTATATCTTGGAAGATAAGATGAGGTATAAATTTTCATCAGAGTTTTATAGTTTTAGCATATATCTGCCCTATAAGACAATTCCCAAACTATTATCAGCCTATGAATTTAGTTTAGATCTGTGATCATCATCTATATAACAACACTGTATAGCGTATACGGAATTATGTCCTATTTGTAACTTTTTAAAAGAACATCAGATTTTATTTTCTTGCACCTGGCAGTACTGCCTTGCAATTGTTGCAAAAATTCACATTGATCCGGGCATTCGGGTAATGACTGACTATTCACAAAAACGTATGGTCTATTCTATTTTGTGGACATACCCTACTCTCTACTAGTAAATAATTATGGTTTGTCCATTTTACTATAATGGTTTTAATTTATATAAATTTCAATCTAGTTTTTTTTTGTATCTGTCCTATAAGATGACCCTGAATTTTCAGGGCCTTTTTTTTTTATGATTCAACTATTGTCTTATCTGCCAAGATATACGGTATATATTTTATAGAATATCATGTGTTAATACTTTCTAAGTGGAAAATAGAAAGCATTACTAGGACATTATGTGCCTTTGTTGCATCATGATAGAATTGAGGTGGAGTGAAAAAGAAAGAGGCGATCCTTGCATTTCTCATGTCTGGAGAAGTTGTTCCTTGCATTTGCTGACACAGAAGAGGAAGTAGTTGCACTTGCCAACATGGAGAGGCAATCCAAGAGCAAAGTAATCGACACCAATTGCTTTGTTCTTGTGTTTTGTTCATTTTTCACACCCATTTTCTGTTAGCTCATCCAATGTTTCCCCCTAAAATCCATTAAGTACAGTCATGTCAGGGAGTATGGACATTTGTCACTTTGACCACAAAGTATCTCAAAAATGAAAAGAAGAGATCACATAGGTCCCTCCCATATTCTTTTTACATTTTTAAGAACAAACTCAATTCTATAAGCCACATAGAAAACATGCTAGTGACCTTGAGACATTGTGTGACATTGTTTTGGTGACTGCAGTCTCATTATGATCTATCTAAAAAGTAAGTTGTGGATCCTCACTTTTTATTACAATTTTGGTTTCTTCATTACAATTAGTGGAATATTGCAACATTTATTAAAATCAATTGATCAAATTTTCAGAAAGAATGCAGTTCTGTAAGCCACATAGAAGAGGCTTTTTCTTATGCTTTGCCTCAAAGATATTTTGTTGTTATGTAATAAAATTCATAAAAAATTATTTAAATTTTATCTAGACTAGAAAATCTGTTTTAAATTATTATAAATGACAGCTATTTTATTATGAATTATTTGAATTAATAATTCATTAGTATTTATTTTTATCAATTTATAATTGTAAATTTTAAAAATATGAAATTATTAGCAGGTAAGCCCGGTGTTGGCTGGGCAAAAAATAAGTACAAACAGATTATTGACTTATTTCGTACTTTAACCCTTTTATTATATTATATTATAGTATTTGATTTACATAACTACAAAGGTTATCTTACATAAGGGTTTATCATACCAAGTGACCAATCTGACACATTTGAAAAATTCTTTAAATTGTGTACAATAGAGGAATAAAGAATTTTTAAAATGTGTTAGAAGATTGGTTACTTGGTGTGATAAACCCTTATATAAAATAATGTTTATACAAATATTAAAATGAAAACTATATAAAGAATTTGGGTATTTTAGCATGTTTATCAAATACTTGGATGGTATGAAACGGCACAATTTTATTGGTCGGGTTGACATCATTTGAAAATACGATATCTTGAATAATTTAAGATATTATTTTTTTAATGTTAGCACTAACAAACTGTTTTTCATTTACATCTGAATATCAAATTGTGATCTGCCAGTGAATCAAATTTTGCAAAAACTGCATTGAATGTTTAAACTCTCACCCTCGAAAACAACTTAAATCATATTTTGTGCATGTTGATAATCTCGTATTATGTAAGTTTTTTGTTTGAATGCTACCATATCGATGGATGCAACAGGAAGAAGGGACTGTTGCAGATGGAGGTCAAAGTTAATTTGACCAAAAGTAATAGTAGTTCTCCTCCTGGCAGAGAGGATGGTCAACAACTATTACTTAATACTGGTATACTATTAATGTTTAAAAAAGTGATTCGTGTTAGACAGGTTGTGATATCCCTGCACATGATGAAAGTTGCTAACCTCAACGTCCGAAAGACTTGATATAACATTTGTTTAAATAAAAAAGTCTTGTAAAAATGCAAGAATAAGTGCTTTTATGTGATCCCATAAAAAAAACTGAAACCAGGTTAAAAAGCTAAAACTCAGCAAAAACATCTAAATAAAGGAAACTTTTGAAAGTTGTAGCATAAGAATACTGGAAGCAGACTTGACAGTAAGACTCAACACATGAATAAATAAAGTGTATATTACCACAGACTACAACTACAGGAAATTTTGAATAAAGTAATGTCACATTGATAATAAATAGGAAAAAAACATTGGCACAGAAAAAGACTTCCAGCTCTATTTTGTGCCTTAAAATTATTGCAGTACATTAATTTGGCTGAACATTAGAACATCTTAAGCAGCAACAGTGAAAGGAGCTTGGGGCAATGAGTTTATGAGTTCATAAGGGGAGATGAAATGAGGGGAGGGGTGGGATGTCCATATTTTCTGGTAGTTAAGTATGGCCTCATAAATATTGCATTTATAGAAATATTATTAGAATTAGTTTGATTTATTTGATTATGGCAATGTGATGCATGAGTGATCTGCAAAGGAGGATGCATTCTGGGAAGACTTTTATGTAAAGCTGGCCCCGTTTTAGTGTTACTAATGCAAAGAAAACCAGAAAAGTCCACGTGGCCAGTTTGTTGGCCATAGGTGAACGCACTACCAACTACCGGTGTTTTTGGTGGTTTTATCCATTTGGTTACCAGATGGAACTTATTGGACTTCAGTTTGAAAAAATTGTAGACCTATAAATTCCCACTGCTGTCCATTCATCTCTGTCCTTTCTTAATCTCGAGAACAGAGTTAGATAGATAAAAGTCAAGACCAGACATGGAAATTGTAAGATAAAGATGATCAGATTAACTGTATGTGAACTTTAGACTTGTACCGCAAGTCATGTTATTTCAATATAAAATTTCACTGAACGGCATTAGATAAATAACTGACGAGACTATCGCCAACAGGAAAAGTATGATGTACGGGGCTAAACACTACTATACTCCACGTAGGCAAGTGCTATGTGCTATCTGTTGCAATAATGGCGTAATGGCATGCCTATTTCATGCTATATCAT